ACCGGACGTTAGGGGGCGAGTGCAGATGGCACTTCAAACCCGCGGAAGGACTTATGGAGCGGCTGAAGGCCAACTCCACGTACAGTAGGTGGAAGTTATTCCAGTCAAAAATCAAGTCTTACGATATTCTAGACACTAGGGTAAATCATAAATAATCATAGTAAGGAATATTTAATGTAGGTTCACAAGGACAAGTTATTAATAAATATTTAATTTTGTTTCTCTGTTCTGTAGTTCCAAGATTGATAAAGGTAACGCTGGAGGATACAGATTTTTTAAATTTCTAGTGTAATATAATTTAGTATTGAAGTTATGACACACGTGAATAAACACGTGAGTGAACTCCTCGCTCTTCTTCCTTTGGCAACTATATATACTGCAAAACAAACATCAACATTGACACATATTGTTATTATACACTCATGACATACTCGTACCTACTATCCCTCTCTACCTCAAGAAATGCAAGTTTAGAACCAATTTGTTTGAAGTCGGTTGAAAATACGGATAGATATCAGAAAATTGTTTAGTTTAACGTGTCACGCTAATATAAAATTAAAAGTTTAGTAATTTATAAGCATCGTTACGCTGTTGTGTATTCTGAATGCCAATGGAGACGCAACGAAGCAATCCAATAACCGATTACGAAGGTTCGTCAGTGTCTTTGCGTGACGTTAATCATTTCGTAGCCAGGGGTAATGTAATGCGAAACCCTAGATAACGTCTAATATAACAAAAAAAGCACCTTGATAAACTTTCCATGTATAATGTACTTTTTCTTTACTTTGTCCTATAACTAAATTTTAGTTACAATACCTAATAAAACTTGGGCTACTGTCTGCTTACTTTATAAACAAATAAATATGATTATGCTAACAAATAAAAAGTTCAACCATAAGCCAATTAATAGGACAATCACGAAAAATAATCCGCAGAATCGGTATAGTGTAACGTTCAAATTGTCAGCGATTGAAAATCTACACTTCTTAACGAAACCACAGATGTCCGGAAGTAAAACCCTGTCCAATAGCTAGTGTTTAATAAAACAAAGTTCAAATTCTGTAAGGTTATTTATGTACATGGAGGGTACTTATCGAAAGCACTTATATACTTTAATTAATAAAATATAATTTAAAAGCTACCTACATCACTCTAGATGTATGGACTACATAGTGAGTATGTGTATTATTTTTTGCCCAAGCGAAAATAAAATGGGCAGTATGAAAGTAGTTGTACTACAAATAAAAAAATTATTGTAATCTACGCCAAACGCTCCACTTATGCTTCCGCTCGCAAAGGGCTGTAGCTTTCTGTTACAGTCTACCTATTAGCATTTTTACTCATAACTCACTGTTAAACTTTTTACAATGTACGGTTTTGTTTTAAATATAATCGTCTTCATCTTAATAAGCCACCGTCGTTGGAGGGAGTGGATTACTAGTAATGAGAACAAGTCGTCGGGATACGCAAAATATCGTAGTTAAATGTTAGTGAATTCGCCACGATTGTCTAACGTACCTGATTCATCATTCATCTTCATCAGTATATCCACTACTGATTGCCTAGTAACTGATTAGCGCATGCAAGTGCATCATTCCATATTGATCCATTAGGTAAACCATTAGATACAGATCTCTTTTTTAAAAAAAGAGGATGGCGCCCATTATTTACAGATTGAGTAGGTAACATGGTACAGGGTGTAATTTCGCGCGATGACAGATTCAGATAAAATCTAAATCAATATCATCCTATAAGTCAGCAAAATTTTCATTATGGTAAACACCTTTGTCAACCAAATATCGTATAACATATCTCTAATAAGAATAATCAATTCAGTTTAATTTATAAAACATATTTAATCAAATCGAACGTTGTAAATAACCCTTTCATTAGGGTAAGTCGAAACTGCGATCAACAGTTACTCAGTTCGAATGCTAGCCCGGCCACGAGCGCTGCTAGTTGAGACAATTTTAATTCAATTGTTAATATTTTAATTTAATGTAGTTTATTATATATATTAATCAACAAATATAAATATATAAAATGTCTCAATTATTATGGATGCATTAAGTGATGTGTTTAGTTAATTCTTAATAAGGTAGGTATGTGTACCGTAAAAGTATTTATACTTAAACAGATTTATTTATTATAGCACCATATACAATTGTATATTATTTATTATACATATTATTTATCCAGTTTCTTCATTTCACCTCATAGACGTACTTTATATTTATTCGAGCGGATTTCGAGTCTAAGTTAAAATGTAATGTAACCTATCATTGTCGTAGCAGTTTTAATCAAAGAAAGTACCTTATCATCTCTGTAAGTTTCTCGTTTTATTTGGCAGAGATATGGGGCCGTTCAAGTATTACGTAAGCAAATTTATTATTATACCCCCATCCCCTTTGTCAGCAAAAGTAAGCAAAGCTCTTACCCCCTCCCCCCATGCTTACGTAAACATTTTTCAATTAATGTATTGTTTTTTTTTTTTAGCAAAGACGATGTGAGGGTTGACATTTGCGTAAAAAAGTAAATAATTACCGATGACGTAATCATCATCTAGACTCCCCTACCCCCATGTCATCCAAAATAATCAAAGTGAAGATGTAGTGCTTACGTAATATTTGAACGGCCCCTATATTGTAATTGTATATTTAGAAATCTTGTGGATTCCACAAGAGGAGTAGCAATTATTTACATATTACTATAACACCAACTAGAATCACATATCATCATATATCGTGATATCATACGCTTCCCAGGTTCTCAAGGCAAGGCAATCTGATCTCATCACATCGGAATTGACCATATACTTTTAAAAGTTTTATGAACTAAAATATTTTGGTGATTTTTCTTATTAAACATACATAGCTTGATGTAAATTCATTCACTAATTTCATTAGTTTTGTGGTCGTAAAGTCACGATATTGTGTGTTCGCGTGCTGAATGAAACATGTAAACCGACATAGATATCAAGCACTGGTATCCGATATATTCAATTACTTGGTACAAATATAATATTCGTTTAAAGCAAAAAAGCTACTTGATGCAGATATTTAAATTAGTCTATAATAAAAATATTTCAGGACAATTCACACAGCGCAGCGGACAATTCACTTGGGTCTAGATACCCAAGTTAAGCTAGCTAAAGCTTGTGTTATGGGTACTAGACAACTAATATAAATACTTAAATATTTTTTATGTAAATACTGATAAAAAAATGTTTGTGTCGTGCGATGAATCAAATCTGCGACCATCGGCAGTAAGGCGGTATGTTAAACCGCTGGACCACCTAGCTGGCATAAATTTCAGTCATATACCGTTAAACCAGAAGAGGTATTGTCAACTGTGGTGAATTGCAACTCTTGACTGATTCAAGAGGAAGGTTTATTTATATGTATAATATACGTACCTATTATATACCGAAATATTTCGTACTAGTTTCCCGCCTCGGTTTTAAACGGATGTCGTGTAAAACCGAGGCGGGTGTATGAAATATTTCGATACCATTTCATAAAACAGTATTATGTATCTTTAGTATCTATCAGGGATCAGAGCATTAAGATTATCGTGCATTACAATGAAAACCATATCGTGATGTTCGGTCGGGGCTAGCATGTATAATTTGCATGATAATAAGCCCCGTAACCGATGCCAAAGTTACGACTGCTTGCTTTTCTTGCGGTTTTACAAAATGATCAATTAAATGGAACTGGCAAAGGCAAACGTAGTAAGTTTTTTTTATTAGAATGGTATACCAACTGATGTTCCACCTGATAGTAAGTGACAACTATCACCTTTGCATATACTTAAATAAAGAGCGCCATACACTGTGCAGTACTAATTTATTTTTTCAAAGCTAATTTATATTCCTGATTATATTTCAGTCTAAGTGAAAGATTTTACCTTAACGAGAAGATAGAATGTATCCCATAAAAGTATAAACGACTATTAACTAAAAAAATAATGTTGTTTTTGTCGTTATGTTAAAGATTTTGTAAATAATATAACATTTTTTTTATCTTCAGATGTTGTTCTTAGACAGATACAAATAAGTTGATATTTTGCTTATTCGTTTTAAAGAAACACCTATTATTAATTTCAAAGGAAATATAGAAATTCAATAAAACGTACTTATCTAAAGCTAACTCAGAATAAATAAATACATAGCTAAATCATAATACTGTAAAAAATAGTTTTAGAACTTTGACTTCACTTAATTATTTTTCTGTGTCCTTGTCATTCAAGGCATATTTCAAGGTAACAAAACCAATAGATAATTCGGTAATAGAATACAAATAACGTCATTATCAAAATAAATAATAAAGCTCTCGCTTTATAATATAAAAGTCTATATTAAAGTAGTTTTTTCAGATTTCAAGGTGAATTGGGTTTACTGATGTCCCTACAATATAAAATTACCACTTGATGGCACAGATAAGGTGATAAGCCAATAGATTAACAGTTCTTGCTCACGAAAGCCGTTTGTTCTACAGAGAGCCATTAAAATTATCTGATCATAGGAAGTAGATAGTCATAATAAACTCGGAAAATATACGATATGATAGTTTCTCTGGTTACACATCAATCGTAGTCCAAATAATAGATACAAAACATGAAACAACTAGCATATTACAGCAGTAGCATTTTTATATTCATCTTAATTGATGCATGCAACATACATCAAATAAGATAAGTAAAAAAATATATCATTGCTCGACCACCTCCGCCATCTTCCGACCAGTTCTGTAGTTTATACCTAGTATGTTGTATTACAAATGGGAAAGCGTTTATTTATTAACTTCTCACAATTAAACGACTTGAAGATAGATTGTACAGTATACAGATTCTATCTTTTGTATCAAACAAGCAAATGAATTGACTAATTCCAAAGATATAATCAGAAACGAAGTAATTCCCCAGAAAACGAAAGTCATAAGCTCTACGAATTTGCAAGTTGAAATAACAGGGGGCTGGTCATATCTGTCACAGAAGCAATGGTCGCTGGAGTTGACGTGTTCGAGAGGGAAGACCGCGAATTAGTAAATGTAGCGCATGACCCAAGTGGAGTGGCAACATACGAAATGTCGCAGGTCATGATTGGACGTGTGACTTGGTAGAGGCTTATGTCCAGCAGTGGACTACAGTGGTCTGATGATGATAGACACAATACACCTACTGTTTGAAAGAGTTTTAATATAAACTGCAAATTTGGAACCAGAAATACATACGAAAAACACACAATTGCACAGTGCACTATAGAACCGCTAAACTAATTCTATTAACAGTTATAACACGTATTTTTGTTTCACCCAAAATTTATAGCTAAGTACATAATAAAGTACTAATCTATCAAATCTATGCATGGCAGCTAACATTGCTGCCCTACCTTTATATTTACGTAATCATTGAGTAAAAATGTACCTATTCCTGTCCACGGAGGGCAAAGATTTATTGCCCTTGTCATTGCCCCGCTTCTTCGTTTACTCGATCATTCATCATACCAGCTTGTTTTGGCAACGAAATATTACCAATCTGCAAATATGTACCCTGCTCTATCTATATTATTCCACGCTAAGTAATAAAGTCGTTCCATTGCATCTACGTATGTACTTAAAATTAATTTATTAGGCAATGAGATTGTTAGTAATAGCGCTGACCTAATTATTAGTAATGCATCGTGTTAGGACTCTCGCTAGAAACAATGTCTTTTGCCCACTGTTACAAGCTGGCGTCACTTCACTCTAATTCTTGTTCCATCATCTTCATATGCCGTCTCAACAACATTTACCGAGCACAAATGGGAGTACATCAACTTCCATAAAAAGTATGAATTCGCTGTTTTTAAAGTATCTAAGTAGTATGTAAAAATATCTATTATAGATGCATCCTATCTACGAAGATTGCAAAATCGCTTTCAAGAATGAAAATATCTACATCATCAACACCTTCATTATAAATTATAAGCCACAGTCGAAACTGTCGCAAATAATTTTAATTTAACTTTATTAGTTGTTGACAATATGAATATTTTTTAAAATGAATCTCATTTTTTTATTTCTGGATTATTCGTTATGTATCAAGCAATTTTGTTTAATTTCTTTTTAATTATTTCCTTACAGAGACTGCTACAAAATGGGCCGCAATAAAGAACCTGAACAGCCGGTAAGCAATCCTGTAGAAGCAAAGAAACATCGAGACGAGTCTGTTGGACACTTCAAAAATGGCAACTATGACCGAGCTCTCAACTCACTAGATAAGGTAAATAAATTAATTGTTATTTATAATTAACTATCATAAGACTAATTGTGGATTTATACTAAAAGAATATTCCTAAAACATTCATATTTTAATAATCTGTTAACACAATTATAGCAGCCAGTCTATATTTAGAGATTATAAACTGTCTGATCAAAAACATAAACAATAAAACCCTGATATACTCAACTTGTTATGATATTACAACGCTAATGCGGCAAACTTTTATCATAACGATACAAAAAAAAGAGAATGTTAAATTCGAAAGTTTTAAAGAAATGCAGGTACCTAATAGTTGTTTTGTTTTTCCTAGTTATACCAAAAGGTACTAAAATTACGAAGTATTAAGAAATCACTTGTCTGTCAACTAGAAAACAAAGTATAATTAGAACTTCATTATCTTCAAACATTTTAATCCCATTCTATAGGTCAATTAAAACATAGTTTGATAAATAGTGAATTAAAATATTAAATTACCTATTAGCTATATAATTGCGACTTAGTAAGTTAAAACGGCCAATTATTTTTCTAAAGATATAAATTCTTTAAAAAGAAAATACATGTGCCCTCTAAACATCCACACACAGAACTAACATGAGGCGAAGGCATGTGGTAAAACACTTCTAGTCACCATGACGACGACATCCGGGGCGTCAATACTAACACCTATGCAAACACTTCGAAAAATTACATAACTTACTCCATCTACACCTGAGCCCCAGTGAACTGTCGTGATGGAAAATGATGCCATTGCTCAAGCTAGATCTATCCTTGGTCCTACAAAGGACGCAGAATTCTTGCAAAGCTTCGTAAGAGTAGGAATAGGTGACGACGAAGATGAGGCACCGGTTCCCAAAGCCTCGATCAGTAAGCGCCTTCCAAATTCTGCGGAAAAAACTCAAACGCCAGAAGCAGAAGAAGAGAGGTCTTCAGCGAAAGAAAAAGTAGTGACTATTAAACCACGAAAGAAGAAAGAAAAGAAGCACCGTGAGAGACGACGTCGTGAGGAGGAACTGTATACTGACAAGGATCGCGCCGCGGCTGTGGTGATGGGATCCAGAGACATAAAATTATCTTTGAACATGAAAGATAAAGCAGAAAGGAGTAGTGCTCTCCATTTACCTGAAGAAGCTGATGCAGGTACACTTTTGGCGTTGTCTCGAGCGGAGATAATGAGGGAAAGGTACCGCAACGCTGTGACATTTGTTGATAAGGTATCTTCGAAAGATTAGGCAACAAAATGTCGTTAGTATAAAATAAAGTTCTTTAAAAACTTTTTCTTCTATTTCAGGCTATAGAATTGGCGCCAGAAGAGAAAGCAGCGTATGTCGCTCGCAGCAAATGCTACCTGCTTCTGGGGGAACCACGATTGGCTCTAGCAGATGCTGAAACGGCTCTAATTTTGGATCCGAAACACGCAAAAGCATTGCTTCAGAAAGCTGAAGCACTGTACTATTGTGGAGAGTTTGAGCTGAGTTTAGTGCACTTCCACAGAGGATTGCGAGCGAGGCCCGACTTAAGTGACTTTCGACTGGGAGTACAAAAGGCACAGGTATATAGGTCGACCCTACCTATAAACAATTGCATTTTCTTAGACTTGTAAAGCAAAAATATCAATGACATTGATTATGCATATACTACAAACCGAAAAATTATATAATAACCCAGGACATACCGCTATCCCATCCCATAATAATCAAACTTTGTACTATCAGCACTAAATAATTGATAGTAATATGTACTTACATATATTTTTTTGAGAGTACATTTGTATAGAAAATCAACTACGGTTATTGGTCTGTGTGTTTTCTCATACACACAAATGATTGTACCATATGTGGAATCGAATAGACGACTATCGGAGATTCCAATGATATGCTCAACCGCTACATTACCTTGGCGTATAACAGATCTAAGTAATAATATATTTAAAATTTCAGGAAGCAATAGAAAATACTATTGGGTCCGTAAAACCGGTTTTCAATAAACCAGTCAAACGCACGAACTCTAAGCCACCACGGCCTGCATTAGGTCAACTGATGTCTGACAAGTTATATCTGGAGAACCTGCTCAAGAACCCAGACCTGGCTATTGCAGACAAAAAGAACGGCATTGTAATGAAACAAGCCGAAGAAGCTATTCGATTTTTGGAGAACAGAGAAGAATTTTGGAGACAGCAACAGACCACAACTTAAAAAATAATACTTGGATTAAACAAAGAATCACGTCCTTACGTGGTACGGTTTTAATCAACTATAATTAGTAAAATCATCTAAAATCTTAACTACCAACTAAAAAAATGTGATATAAAAATTAATAATTACTGAATTAATCTAATTTCTTAATACTGTGTTGTTGATGTTAGCTGTTTTCGAACATGATTATCTGCTCTAATAAGTACAAAATGCAATTTTCCTTATAATGAACTAATAATTGTATTGTTGTACTCAATAAAAAACAATAAAACACGAAGAATATCCGAAATAACGTTTTATTTGTTCCAACTCTTCGACGTTTCAACTTAACCAATCAGAACGGACACGCATATAGCCATTTCATCCAAGCCATACTACGTGAAAATAAAAATATTCACTTTATCAACATGAAACACAATATTTTGTTAATGCACATTTTCTAATTTTATATACAATATTTACAAGTAATTCAAAATCACTTACTTACTCACCAAACACTTAGAAATACATTTTTATATAATGATGAAAGTTTAATAATTCCATTTACTGAGTTCCTTCACCACACAGTGGTGTGTAAATGTAAAATTAAACATGCATTATTAAATATTATACTTAGAATAAAATTTCATAAGCAGTTATAAATACTAATCAGAGATAAAAACAATATTATAATGGGATACAATGTCATTCATGGGTGCTATTATGACGCCACATCTACACACTGATGGTATTAAAAATATAGATATGAAACAATGCTTTAGTGTGATGGCGTAATAAGCGGTGAAATCTTTGTATTTCGTATCAATAAAATAATGTTCGAGCAAATAATACACTTTTAATTGCAAATTTTTGTTTTTATGTTTTGTGGTAATTTCACATTTAATCGCACACAGGTAATAAATCAAAGACTTTCGACCCTGTCCGTGATAAGGACAGATTGAAAATGTATTAGTCTTGACATGTTTTTAAAAAGTAAAGTAAATTATATAATAGTGACGAGATGAATCGATTAAAGTATTGTAAATTGTGAATTAAAACGTGATATAAACGATTATGGAGAATTTCACGAAACTACATTACGAAAATTTCATCATTTTTACACAATTTTTGCGACGTTATCAGGAAAACATCATAATCATTCATTGCAGTTTATCCATATGTGGCTTCATATTTGGTCTATTTAAAGTTCATAATAATCTCGTTAACCGGTTATATATTTTATGTAGGAATATATTTAAAAATTAAAATAATAAAATTGTACAATAATTTATAGGAAACCTTAATGTTTCTAATACTGTGTGTAGTTTAAATTATTGCAGTTATATTCGAGTTCTCTGTTCAGTATATTAGTAGTAAAGCCTGACGAGAGAAACATATCTTTAAACTACAAATTTTCCCATAATACATTTTTTCTAACAACTATGCTCAGAATCGTCACACTTGATTATTATTACTAAATAATCAGTGTACAATATCCAACTCATTATAAAAAAACTCTTAGCTTTCAAATAAAATATTGTCTATGCATTCCTAGCCGGACTTCATTACCTTAAATCCATAAGTCAACTAGAGATCATAATTTTATTAACATAATAAATACTCAGTGAAATGAAACGTAATTTTAAAAATAATATTCCGCCGATTTCGATTACCATAAAAATATTGTTAAAACTAATCGGGGGACAACGTAAACAGCATGTTTAAAAATGTACGTTAACATCTAATATATACAATTAATTTTATAATTTTAATCCCGCAGCAGTACATTCATTAGACAAATTGTAATCACTACACAGCTATTGAACACAGATAAATTAAAAAGCATTGGGTATGAAAATAAGATCCTGTCTATTAAATATACGCCGTTACACCTATGTAAACAAATCTTATATGAGGTAAAATGTATTTGTAGGTGTAATCTCTGAATTACGAAATTAATTAAAATACTTTCACTACAAACGATAATAAAAGAATCCCCCAATAAATTCCTCAGGAAACAGTACATTCTCAAAGTACAGTCGATTTGTGTTGGCAACACTAATACAGCTTAGAAGTATCAAAAAATAATGAGGTTAAGTGTATCAATGTACGAAACAATAAATAGAAACTGGACACTAAATTTTGGTTGGATTTAAACTACTGATAATACTAATGATTATTTGCTATTTTACACACAAAAATTATCTGGTATTTTTAAGTTAAAAACGTAGAACTATTTTGCACTCCCATTCTCTAAATGTATCTCCAAATTTATTTCTAATTTGATGATAATTCTATTAAATCACATTTCGATAGTAGTGTCATATGGTGTTGCCATATCCTGAAATTACAATCTCTAAAATTAGTACGTTATATTTATTTACCTTTAAATGAAAATAGATTTAAGTGTCCCAAAGTAAATAGACTCTAGTTCCATTTAAATGCTTGCCTGTAACGGCAAATATCAGTCTACAATTGTTCAATATTACTACTTATATAATGACATCGGTGGCTTATCAAATTAAGTTGTTAAAAATCATGTTCTAGCTAACATTATTATTTAATAATTAAGTGTATTCCATTATGCAATATTAAAATGACAAAATACGCCTAATTTATACATAATCAGCAGTTCAGATTTATTAATTTAAAAAGCAATGCATCCAACAAGTTTTTAACAAACTCGTCCAACTCAAAAGGCTAGTTTTGAGCATTGGAATTTGAAATCCATCATTTAAATACTACATAATTACTTAACTCTAAAGAATTTAGTATACAGTCCATTTTCATTTTTATATAATATTTACACACATCAGAAAGCTATTTACGACAGGTTCAGAAAAGCTCATGAGAGACTGATTTTTTTCAATCAAAAGCTAACTTTATTATTATATTAACTATATACTACTATTATTATAGAATATTGTAATGTCAATTTTTTTATGTAATTGAAATGGCAACAAGTTGACGGCCACCATATGGTGGCATAACGTCAACCGTCGCCTATACACATGACCAGTACTACAGACATCAAGGGACGCCCGTGACACCGCTCATGCTTTACCATTTCGGAGGGCTAAGGTGCCATACCGCTTACACTGTAATTTCACTGCGTAATCTCACCTTTCTACCCAAAAACAACTTATAGTAGGTACGGTTAGCGGCTGAAATAGGTGAGACAGAACTGCCCAGAATTTTTTTTTACAAAGTCTACCTCAGGCATGTCAACAGTACCGAAATTTCAAAACATAAATACTTGCGTACACAAATCTTTTCTAGAACTGACATTTGCAGAGAATCACTATTATTTAATCTATAACAGTTTAGAAGAAATAAGATTCTATTGTTTGACTGGTGTTTTGTATGACCCACCTAGATCTTGTCCGTTAATGTCCATAGACAATGTAATTATGTTATGACTTGTCATAGATTATCATTGGCAGTGAAGCCGATTGTCTATGCCTAGTGATAAAAAAATACACGAAAATATGCGCCACGCGTCATCTCAGCACCCTGCCACACACACTTCATAAATATTGAAAAATACTGGGATTAAAACATTTCCTGTGGACTTCACATTAACTACTTCCATATGTACACAGCCTTGTCAGTTTACACACACTGAATTGATGTCAATACAACATATTATTGTTGTTTTTTCAACCATTTGTTCAATAACAATATTTCCATTTGAATATATTTATCTAGTCATATGATGTGAAATAAGTGACTTTAATCAAATGAGCGACAGCCGAAGCCGTCGCATCTCCTGTTAATCCGCTTCCTCAGGCGGCGCTTATAAACAGGCCCGAATTTCGCCATGTACTTCTTGACGAAAGTCTTCGCTTTGGTTCGAACAGAGTCGGTAACCACCAACTCTTCTACTGACTGACAATGTTTGAGCTCTTTCAACATTACGAAATGCGTGAGCTGAAAAGAAAATAAAGTATTTTAATTTGGGATAACATTATGTTATTTAGTGGAGGTCTGGATGCATTAAATACTAAGTTTGAAACAGTTTTTTACAAATTTTCAGTAACATAATACCTCTAGAGGTAAATTACATCTTAATAATCGAAAACTCTTGCAATTTCGTTTTATAGATTAAAGCCGAAAGAGCGTCAATTCGCTTCTGCTTCTACTCTTCTCTCTCTGCTGCTCTTCTGCTCGGCACTTACCATCTAATAAGGTGGTAAATGCATTATTCATAAGTATACCTGTGAGATAGCTTAAACATAAAGAATGAAAAAGTAATTCACGTTAAGGGCAATATATCTTATCTTTACAAGGACTGTGTGATGTGCCCTTTTTTTAAGGAACAGGCAGATCAATAGTTCTGCTTGTTGCTTTAAAGAACAGTCCATTATAGGCAGTCATTTAATGGTAATGGTAAAAATATAAATAAGGAATGGAAGATCACCTATTAAACAGTTCCGATTGATAGACAGGTTACGTACCTTCCTGGCGAGGTGTTTGAAGTCGGCAGTGCAGGTGATGCGTCCGAGTGGCGCGTCTGACCGCCGGTACGGGTTGAGGTGCTGCACCATGACGCGCGCCATGCTGCTGCGGAACTGCTCCTTGCGTCGGCGCGCCATCTCCTCCGCCTCGGCCGGACTCGGGCTCGGGCTCGGGCTCTCCTCCGCTACCACTACCGCCTCCTCCACTGGCTCCTCCGCTGGCTTGTCCTCTTCGTCCGACAATAGGTCCGAGTCGGTGTCCGAATCCGCCAGATCCACCATCTGATATGCGATATGATTGTTATAACATTGGGGATAAACGAGCTTGCAAATCACGATAGTAAGTGCTTACCGCCGCCCATGAGAGTGCTCACTAGGGCAATTGCAAGAGAGTGCTCACTTGCTAGGGTAATTGCAAGTGCAAGTAAAATTGAATAAGTAGAAATATACTAAGCACAGACTATTTAGAATGTTCAAGTATGTCTTAAAAGATATCTGCATTAATACTAAAAATTATAAAATTGTAATTTTCTTATTACATACAATACATACAAAAAAGAGCTGCACATTCCATGTTGTAACTTGCAAATTGAATTCAATATATGAAAATTACTGTCGCTAATGTGCCACTTCTTACCTTAAGTTCTGGAAGAGAAAGTTCCTTTCCACGTTTAGCAGTAGCCAATAGCCGTACTTTCTGCATGAGTCGTTCACGTCTACGGCGCAGTTTCTCTTTCGTCTGTTTGTACCGCTTTACTTCCAGTCGACCGGCTAACTTATCTTCCTCTGTGCGTGGCTACATAATGAAATCAACAATAATAAGATTGTTTTACAAACCTGTAGTGAAATGGCATACAAACCAACAATATAGCAAATTTGAACAAAATTACAAAGCAATCTACTACAGAAATAGTTGAGACCAAGAAATAAGTACCCAAACATCATTTTATGTCAAATGCTGAAAAGAAGTGGATTTTGTAATGATATTTTTGTAACATTAAATAATATTTACGTTTATTTGGTGCGCCACCTACCTTTTTCTTATAATTTCTTTTCTACGCAAAGGTACTCATTTTAATTTAATTATATTCTGTATCTGCTGCAATAAAGAGTATAAATAAAAAAATAATAATAATATACACAACATACACTGATCGGTCGCTCGGACACCAGTCCCGGCCGTCGTTTCCGCGGCTTTATTGTGATCAACGCATGGTCAGGAATTAAGCCATTATGCGAGTCTTCTTTTATTACTGAAATTAATAATATTCATTGATATATTAATAACTTTTATGTACGTATACATATAAAAATTTGCATACCACTACAATATCAAACAAGTATCAAATTAGTTACATATATGCAATCTCAGATATTAGTAGTATAATGAAAATGGTACTAGGCCATACCATTTACATTGTAATTGATCAACTTTTTTCTGTTTTCGTAGCTCGTTGCTCATATAAGTTAAATAAGAAACCTCTTACTCTCTCTATCTCTCATTCCAGCATTCCTGTAACTTATGTTTGAAAACCGTGACTAATTCTATTTAAACAAATATGTAATCATCGTATAAATACCTTCATAAATTCCGTTGACACCTTCAACAACCTTCCCTTTAGCGCGTCTGCTCATAATCGGAGATTCAACTGACGGAATTTGCTCTTCCTCCTCTTCAGATGAACTCACTTCTGTAAGATTATATCAATACATTAATCACCAAGATTCTACAAAACTATCGTCAATGCATAATAGATAATGAAGTAATGACTTTCTTTTTAACGGACTATGCTTGACAAATGATCCATAAAAAACATTGACATGTGCATACCCGGGTGTTGAGGCGGCGGCGGCAGCCACTGCGGTTGTCGGAGCTTGACGTGGTAATAGTATCGCCGGCCGCGGTCGTCCACCGCGCTGCGCCATAGCGACGGCAATACTGGCCCCTCACCCGCCTCCGCCTGTGCACCCGCGCCTGTCGTACCCGCTCCCGCCTCTACACACTGTGACCCGTCCGTAGCCATCGGAGCCAGGCCCTACAGTACATTCACAGAGCGTTATTAATGAAAAAAAAAACATCCTAAAATTACTTCATGTCATATATCTCAGAGGCTCATCATACCGATAAGCTTTCCACATTGTATTAATGTCTGAGTAAAATTGCCACGCATGATACGCCAAAGTCTTACTTCACATGCTCTTTTGGAAATCGCATCAATTATCGATAGATTTGATTCATGCATTGAACATTTGTCCTTAAGAGGCCTTTCACATTTTTTGGCCTAAAAGCAGGGTCTTTGGGGTTCTGGTTCTAAGAAATTAAGAGTCGGATATACATTTTGATTCCTGAATTATATAGATAGATATCTAATCTTAAAAACAACATCTTTGAAATGTTAATTTTCTCTTTGTTAGTCTTCCTAATTTCTAAAATAGTTTATTCAAAAACGCTAAGAGACAGAAGTTTGGGGTCGTCGTTCATTAATAAACAAACATAAATTGATATGATATCTTCACTAAAACTTGGTAATTACTTTATAAATTAAGACAGCATCGTCCTTTTTTTCATTTTCAACTTAAATATCTAAAAAATTGATCATAATTAAACCCGAAATTTCAACAAAACTTTGCCATAATCATTTATAATTTTCTCGTAAATACAACCAAATTTTTGCATAAAAAAAACATAATAATAAAGTTAATATACTTGTAAAATAGAAATATAAAAAAAAATATATAAGTTTCTAAGAAAAAAATAAACAATAATAATAATTTAAAGTTGTATAAATTCCGTTGCGCCAAAAGTCGCTCGGAAATTCTCAGTGCTGCGCTAGCGCTCGTCGAGGTAGCATCTATGCTATTTTTTACGACACCGCTACGATAAGACATTCGTAAACATTTGTCAGTGAACATTAGTATAGTGCGACTAAACAATTTTGATAATTTAAGTAATATTTAATTAATTTTGCTAATATATACTTATTTCTACGAATATTAATTTAAAGTTGTTGTTAAATATACATATATAGTATTCATTTTAGCATAAGACAAAAGTATTATGCTACAAATAAAACCTACCTACCCTTGCACTATGAAAAGCACAAGAGCATGGTATTTCGTCACACTAATGGCAATTAATTGTTAAAATTAAAAAAGAGAACATTTTAGTATTTTTAAAAATAACGCTTATCTGAGAGAAAAATGTAAGAAAATGTAAACCAATTTTACTTTATGTTTATTTTGTAGTTTTTTTCTAAATTAAAATAGGGTTATTGTTTATAAAAATACCATTATTATTTTTACGTACATTTGTCTTGTGTTATATCATCTAGTATGTAATGTGGATTGTAAATAAATTACCAAATTATATATAAATTATATTCCTTAATGTTTAGAGATATTTTATCCAATTTACTTTATTTTATTTTACACAATACAGATATTTCTAAATTGCAACCATTCTGTTATTATACTCGTTGGACTTTCATTACTGTACAGTTATGTCAAATAATTATGCGTGTTTGGGTGAAAAGTCAACAACATTATAAATGTTTTTATTTAGAGAATTTTAGAATATGGGATATATAGGTTATCGCGCGTTTGAAGATCCGTGTACAGTATTGGGACGTTATATATAAACCTTCCTCTTGAGTCTATCTATTCTGTCTATTAAATAACAACGAATCAAAATCTGCGTAGTTTTTTAAGATCAAAACATACATAGATCTATTACATGTGTAGATGATATTTTAACCGGAAATTGAAGTCGTTAAAATGGTATTGGCAGATCAGTTGGAATCATCGGTATTCTTGGTATATAAGCTGGTTGCCCAGCTAACGTACCGGTTATAATGGTCTACAATTAAATTGTCTTTCAATTCTTTAGTAAGCAACATATCCAATGGGCTTAAATTTCATGACTGGATCATGCTTTTGAGAAATTCCTTCCTCAAGTTTGAGCAGTTAGTGTGACAAATCACTATCTGTGCTTCCATAAAAATGAGCTCTCAAATTTGTCATTAGTTTTAAACTTTCAATTAAAGTCCATAAGGGAGACGATGTTAATGACACAGAGAGTCTTTCAGAAATCTCCAGCAAAAGTATAAAAGTAATCCCGCCAATGAGAGCAGAGGTGTTTCTAAGGTCTTTTAAGGTTCTGTCCAAAATCTCTATAGCTCATGGTGATTTCATTACATATAATCAATGAGGCGTCTTGTAATAATTTATAAAAAGGTTTGATATTAACAAGTAATTATTTATCAAGAATCAAGAATCGGCCAACCAAGAACGAGAAGCTGCAATATCAGCCAATATCATGCGGCGACGTCAATGATGCAGGAACAGCAATGATAGCAGTTGAAGCTTTTTTTTTACAACTTAGAATGGCAAACAAGCTGACGGCTCTCCTGATGGAAAGGGGTAACCGTCGCCTATATACATGAGCAGTACCTGACATGTTCAAATCAGCATATTGTTTCCCTCATGCGTTGCCATTCCTGAAACCTCGGGTGTTATTCCCCTGTACCCTGTAAATTCACTACCATATATATACACAGGTAGTCTATATAGATAGATATACATATACACAGATAGTATACCCTGAGAAAGGTCATAGACTACTTTATAGTGCGAAAAAAGTATTGTAAGGGATTAAAAGCGGAGATGAAAGGTTGTATAAAGGTATCGTCATTGTTTAAGTGAAACAATGAAACTTTTTTAGGTTATAATCTAAATATATTTCCTTTATTTGGTCAATTTCATTATACCACGCTGACGAAGTCGCGGACACACCTAATATACATATAAGGATGGGACCTTTAAATCAAAACAAAGCCTTGAAAACACAACTATTATATATAAATAAAATAATTATTTGCTAAGTATAATATTTAGAACAAGTGAATATGGCAACAATGTATCCGACTCTTATAATAAATTATATTGTATCTATTAATAAATAAACTGAATTAATATGTAAGAAGAATTAATTAGTAAATTTATGTTATAGTAATTTCATCTTCCTGTCCTTATCCCAATTATTTGTTACTCATATTACTTAAGGTTTTGGCTTTTAGTTGTACAATCGGCCAGCATCCTGACATCAACCCTCTAGGAATAATATAATAAAAAAATATGGTCATTATTAGCACTTTGATAATTAAGATAAATCACGTTATTTAAAAAAATACAATAAGTAGTTTATGTTACTCAGTTAAGTAGAAACATATCACATTATTAATTAAAATATTACAAGGATCAAAATGGTTCATACTAAATCCACACCGATTGCGCTACACGGTTATTTGCGTCTGTGTGCGTGTATTACTGTGTGTGTGCGTAAATCCATGCGATTAAACCTAAAGTTGAGCGGCATCATTTTGTAATAGGCCTCTTAAGCATAATATAATTGTAATTTAAAATAGATGAAATATTAATTTTATACGAAATTACATATCTGCCTGTGGCCTCCCGCATTATATATATATACAATAATATATAGTAACTTTATTTAGTTGATAACGACTGTAGTCTAGTGGTAGTACATTGTCTTGCAATCCTATGGTTACGCAATCCCCTAACATAACTTTTTATTAATGACTAAATCTGTCTGTATTGGCCTAGGTGATTTTCTATTTATATTATTAATCATAAAAAAGGTAGTGTGTCTATCAATTGTCTACCGCCAGTAATAGTATTAACCCTGTTTCTTTAGGAACTAGATAACTTAGTGTATTTGTATATAATTCATCACTAATTTTCTATATTGCCTAAACAAAAACAAAAACAAACGCTTACTGTTAACAAACACAATTAATAAATTGTGATTGTATGTTACATAGATAGATTTTATGGACATTTACCTGTGACAAGTCGTGTTGTTGCGGTGGCGGATGGGGATACGCCGGCATCTGCTGTCCAAACATGAAGCGGCCCATTCCAAAACCGCTCATACCCATCAAACTGTTTAACAAATACATTATAAAATTACACCATTATGCACTTTCCATCAACATCAGCCAATTACATTAAACATTAAACTGAAAAATAGTCTAGGCTTTATTAATTATCGACAACATGTAACAGAAAAATATCCAAAAATATACAGACATATTTGTACTACTAGTTCACAAAAAAGTTATAAGTATGTATTACTTTTTTGAACTACATAGTGTATATGATACCTACAAACAGTACTATGTTTATGTAAATAAAAATATGTATGTATGTATGTGTAAGAAATCAGAAATAATTTTGCTTTATTGTCTTATAATTTCCGAAGCATATGCGATATACGAAATTTCTTTTAGTATTTTTTAACATGTTTGGTTACATTATCTAAGTTTTCATAAGCATCCCTAATGTCTTTTTAAAATATATTATCGTCTACGTTCATTAGGGATAATGTAGAATTCTAACTATAAAATATTTTTTCAAATCGTCCAGTAGTTTTAGAGCCTTTTCAATGCAAACAGACATTCAAATATTTTCTCTCTATAATAATAGTATAGATATATGATACAATTACAACAATACAATACAATTAAAATGTTTAATTATTCCATTAAAATATAATGACGCATAAACTGACTTGTGTTGCGGCATGCAGTAGGACTGCGGGCCGCCGAAGGGCGGCGGACAGAACGGCGGTGGGAACTCAGGCAACCACTCCCCGGTCATTTCGGGCACCATGCCCATCAGACCACCCGGGAACATCTGTACATACATAAATATATGTTTATTAAAAGCTTTTCATTTGCCATATCACTTGATAATTGTTAGTAACGGGAAGTACTGGCCCCAATGGTAAAAATTTCATATCAGGTTGACTGCGCCGACCGTGGCCTGTAGAATTGTTAGTAACCGGGCCTGTAAGTACCTGTGCGTAGGAGCCCCAATGGTAAAAATTTGTTGCGGCCATATCAGGTTGAGGAGTCCCGCGGCGGGTGCGGGTGCGCGGCCAGACGGCCGACCGTGGCCTGTAGGTGAGTACCTGTGCGTAGGAGTCCCGCGGCGGGTGCGGGTGTTGCGGCCAGTAGGGCGGCCGACCGTGGCCTGTAGGTGAGTACCTGTGCGTAGGAGTCCCGCGGCGGGTGCGGGTGTTGCGGCCAGTAGGGCGGCCGACCGTGGCCTGTAGGTGAGTACCTGTGCGTAGGAGTCCCGCGGCGGGTGCGGGTGTTGCGGCCAGTAGGGCGGCCAGGCGGGCGGCGGTCGAGTGCGGCGACTGTCCTCTGCAGCCGCCGCAGCTTCCGCGAACGCTCGCCGCCGCTCCTCTTTGCTCAGTGGAGGCACCGCAGCTAACACGCGCTCGCTCAGCCTGCCGATATGACACAAAATACCATATCATCGTATGCACACTTTGTTCCTACTTCTACACAGATATATAGTTGGTCCAGTGCGCAGCTATTCGTGCACACATATATACATAAATATATATGTGTGTGTGTGGACGAATAGCTGCGCACTGGGCTCCAAATTCTGATATAAATAATGGATACTGATATCTACTACTAATATCTCAATTGCTTAATATCTTAGCTTAATAACATAATTGTCAAAACATATGCCAAAATAAATTACTGTATTAATTTATTTTGGTCAATGATATCAACAATTAAACACATAGATATTCATATAATATGGCCTGTGATTTATATGAAGTTTACTTCACATTGTGAAACATGATATTACTCCATTATTCTCACCTTATACTTCTTCTACCGTCAGGACTTCCCCTTCTTTTTCTCCTGTCTCTGTCATCTCTGTCTCGCTCCCTGTGCCTGTCCCTGTCCCGCTCGCCGCGGTCGCGGTCCCTGTCGCCTCGCTCTCGCTCCCTGTCTGTCCGCTCCCGCTCCCTGTCGCGGTCTCGTTCTCTGTCCCTCTCCTTGTCTCTGTCTCGTTCTTCGCGCCGGTCCCGGTCGTCTCTGCGCTCACGGTCGCGATCTCGATCTCGCGCTCCACTAGAATCAGCCGCCCGACGTTCGATGTTCGCTTGCCGCTCGTGTTCTTTCATTTGCTGAATTCGTTCTTTCTTTGGTATTTTGAAAACTTCCTGCAATTTTGTTCTATATATTAACCACAGTTCTAGTTTTTTACAGCAACCATGCTACAATATTTCAAGAGAGCAAATACAATATTACATAATAAACAATGAACTTTACACATTTTTTATGAGTACATTATTAACACCTGGAACTCACTTTCAAACTGGACCATCTTTCTAACAACTGACTGGATAAGTCCTTCATTTTTTCTAACATGGTTGCATGTTCTCTACTTCTGTCGGCAACCGCTGCAGTGTCTTCCTCTCCATCCCTATTTGGCAGTTCTACTGGTAAACCTGATAAAAACCCGTTAAGATATGAATCTCCAAAGCCACAAGTATATAATTAGCTGACAATTGTATTTAAAAATGTATTAAATAAAGTCATTAACTTTTCGTAGAAACTAAATCCTATACCAAGTAAATACAGTACATTTATAGATTCTGAAGTAAATGGCAATAAATTGTATACATTTATTTTATGTAACTGAATAACTTACTAACTACTGATGCAATAGCTTTAATAGAAATAATACAAATATGTACCAGTAGCTTCATCAATAAACACTTGGTCCTGTGGCACATCTGTCGTGTTCAACCAGCGTTCGACGATCGTAAAGAAGCGACTTTCTTGTACCATTGTCTTATTTGTAATTGGCAATCTATCCACTGTCTGCAGCATCTCCAATCTGTAAAAATAATGAATAATTATATATACGACATTAATTTTATAATTAATTATGATTATGATTATTCATAATCAGGCAAAAATATATTTTAAAGCCAGTATAGATTTCTCTATTACATAAAGATAGTGTATCTTGGAGTATTAGAGACAAAGTAAAAGTAAAAGCAAAAGGCTATAAAGGCTATAACAGCGCAGATTTTATTTATTTACCTCTTATTTGATTTACCTCAGCTATCTAGTACCCTTCTTGTGTTTTACAAGCTCTGTTTAAAGTAGGACTAGATGGCGCTGTGTTAATTGTTAGTGTTATTTATTTATTATGAAAGTAAAGAAAGGGGACCTGAAGTTGAGTGTGGCGTCGGTACACCAGGGCGCCAGCAGTCGCAGGCCGCGGTAGTCGAGGAACAGCCGGCGGCACGGCAGGTCGGCGTCACGCAGCAGTCGCAGCAGGCGAGCCTGCGCGCGCCGAGTCTTCGCCCTCACCACCGTTCGCGACAAGCGCAGTGTGTGGCTCTGATTCTTCACACCCGTGCGACTCAGAGCCTCGAGGTCCTCTTCGATCTATTTAAAATGCAGTTATTATTGTGGGGCATTGAACCGAAATGTAGGCATATAAAGTGCCTCTGAGTACAACATCCAGGATAGCAGTCGTGACATATATTTGTTGACAAGTTTAAGCTCTTATGAAGGCCAATTTCTTCCCTACCATCTTGTACAAGCAACAGATATAGACTAACAACCAGATTCATATTACCACATGTATCATATTTCCTAAGTTCATTTTGATGACACACTCAGTTTTAATAATTGAAGATCTTTCAACACACTTTTGGACCTAAAACATTGGCTCAACAGATATTGTATCAGCTAGAGATGTTTTACAAATACATGCAATGCAGAACTCACTCAGCGCTGAACTTGGCACATGTAAAACATTATTTATTCAAACTTTGAGCATCTATACCTTTATAACCTCTAGAAATTATTGAAGACCGATTTTATAAATATTATTCTTAAAATGATTACTTAAAAACTTATTATCTCATGAATTCCAAGTAAATAGTGTACACACAATCACTTTCACTACATTTCAAAGAGTAAACAAAATAAGTAAAACTTACATCAGCATCCTGAACCAAATCCTTCACTTTGGGTTTGTACTTGCGTTCTCTCTTACTCTTCCGTTGCTGCGGGTGAGGCAGTTCAGCGTGTGCGTCGGCAACTTGAGACTCTTCAGTTAACTGGGCTGTACCAGACTTGGAGGTCGATACATCTTCCTCCTCCTGAAGTATTAAGACAGACTATTTATAACTGCACTAATAGTATTCAAAAGAAATTAAATTAATCAAATTATTCTGATATACAACCTTGCAGTATTAAATAGTAACAATAATGATAATAGAACTCTATATTACACACTACAAGTACACTGAAAGAATGTCCATAACAGTAGTAAGATAAATATATTTTAATCTAGCTATGCCAGCTAATTCAAGCGGATTTTAAATACAGGAATTCACAGACTCACAAACAAAAATTATAAATATTGATTACAATTTTATTATATGTATAAATGTTAGAACAGCTATATTATAAATTTTAGTTCCGGAATCAATTTAGGAATTAATTTAAAAATTTAATGATCCCTGGAACGTTTTGTTTAAAGACCATAAATTCCAAATACCACCTGCGCAAGGTACTCAAAAATCAATTTTGCTATGAATAAATGTATTTACCTCTTCATAGTCTTCATCATCTGAATCAGGCTCAGCTCCAATCCAGCCGCGGCAGTTGTTAGCGCCGCAATAACAACGCTGGGCCACCTTTCTGCACCAAAATATAACACATTACCTCCCACTCGCCTCCTATGTGACAGGCGCTGGAATATGTAATATATGAACTGACTGAGTAAACTACATATCTAATTGTAATAATATGTAATTATTATTATTAAGTTAATAACTTATATGTATTAACAATAATAATATATAATAAAATAACTATAGCAGGAAATTTTGGCAATTGTTCCATTTAGAATCTAAGTTTACACTGGCCCATCTGATGATAAATGGTAACCATCATTAATAAAATTAAGAACATCACATTACTGTGGAATCCCTGTGATTCCACTCATTTGTTGACTTTCCAGATGAATAAGATATCATGCTTCTTATCCTGTAATTTTACAGTCTAATTGCATCCTACAACTGAAACAGCTAACAAAGTATGCTGCCTGGCGGCAAAAGTAGGTGAAATTGAAGTAATCACACAGATGATTTCTTAAAGTCTACCTCTGGTAACATAAGGTAGGATAAGTGATACTTATATTTTATAGATTCTCTAAGAATAAGTAAAAATTAAGAGATTATTATAATACTAACTATTACTGGATTCCCTTGATTGATATACTTGATTTGACCCCCTCCCAGAATATTTTAAAAAGTTAATGTTCATCTTCATTATACTCTCTTGTGTCATGGCGAATTGACTGAGAGATATGCTTTCACATTTTAATATGTTTAAGATTAATGTAAATTTTGCAATAAATAAATAACAATTAGAAATGGATAGTCACCTAAGAGTGGATGGAATATAATAAACCATTTATCCATAGTAATATTTTAGAAGTGAAACAACTTCCAAACTTCTTTTGAATTAAAGTTTGGTCCACAGATAAATATTGCGCTTAGTACTGTATATCACATTGTTAATAATAATTGAATTGGTCCAAGCAAAAAAATAAAAAATATATTTAGCATATTTTTAAAATACTTGCTAAAAGCAAAATTATTTTCACAGATACATTTCAAAACTCCATATCAAAAATTTTGTTACACATTATAAAATGTATTAGACAGTACATTAAAAAATTATACAAAATTAAAATATCAAAGTATACTTACCCAAACCTCTGAAACTGGTAATCAAATGTGATTTCTTCACCTGCTACTATATCTCTCTTGCTGAAGAAGCCTATCCTCAACTCCCCGTTCACGGTCCACTTCTGTGTTTCCGCATTAGGTTCGCATGAGTGGTTTATGAACCGCGATATATTGCCTTTGACTGTGGCGTCGATGACCGTGTCGCCTTTTAACGACATAAAGTAGTGATGAAGGTTGTTCACATCAGAGTAGGCTTGAGCGCGTTTGTAGAAAAGTTCATAGTCTAAAACTTCACCTACATACTCCATTAAGAACTCGCCCCTGCAATTTGTATTATATATTCTATTATACACTTTCTTAATTAATAAAATTACTTCCTTCTTCCTTCCTCCCATTATATTACTATGTACTAGAGTTACATCCATCATTTTACTATGTGTATATGGGTTCCACCCAAAAAAGATATCTTTCAGCATAAAGGAATAAGTTAAGTCATATGAAAATATGCTACTGTTTTTGTAATTACATTGCAAATGAAGTTATTACTTGATTATTTCCATTGCATAAATTAATTCGCTCAGCATTTAAATGCATCATTAAAAACATTTTTAAATATTTTTTAATTTGTTATTATGATAATAACCAGATTACTATGTAGATTATAATAGAAATGATATCATTTTAAAGCATATTTTGTTACTAGGATTTAATTAATTTAATAACATCACATATAATTTTAAAAATGATTTAAAATTCAAACTTTACCTACTTCATATTATCAGTAATTATTAGTACATACTACTCAAAACTATGCAAAAATAAAAAACCAGTACATATTTCTTATTTTTGCATAGAATTTTGAGTAGTATATTTGTTGTGGTGGGGTTCTTTTTTGTTGAGATGGTGAGTTTACTAATAAATAATATATACGTTTACAGCAGAATAATTGTATTGTCTCTTTTTATATTATATTTACACTGATGTCAATCTATATTTTGTATTTTGACAACTAAACTATTACTCGTAATATATTAAATAACAAATTAATAAGTAGGTCGTATATACTCGTAACATCCTCCCACAGACATGAAGTGCTCTTCAGGTAGCCTACTGTAAATGAGCCTTGAATACTTTAAGAGTTTGTCTTAATTTTGCCTACTCTCTCTATCACTTCCCACCAGGGGTACCATCTTTCCCACCAAGCGTACCATCTTTCCACCCAACCTCCCCTCCACCAAGTAGGGTCCGGTGGCTTAAATTTCCAGCTGATATGCTTGTCTTGAACTAGACGAAATAAAATTACACTATGCGATGGTAATATTATTAAATATTTAAAATCTCTATTTTCCTCTTGGCTCAGTATTAATTTAGTTTTCATGCTTATCATACTTTTTTCGTCTGTAAAAATAGTCTTCTTTTTCAATTTCCTAAACTCGTCATTTGCTTGAAAATATTCTCTTTGTATAATCATTACTGACTTATTTTCCACTTCTTCATAATCATCAAATGTCAAAATTGTATCTAGTTTTTGTTCTTCCTTCTTTTGTTTATAGTCGTAACTAGTCTTTTCATACTTCAAAGAATGTTTCCTTACGTCTCTTTCTATCTTTTCATCTCCTTCGTATTTCTTACTCATACCCGATGAAATATATGATATTGTCGGTTCACTCACTTCTTTTATATAACTTTTAAAACCTGACATGACTAACTCGACTTTTTCATCTCTTTCTTTATTTATCGAGTCTCTAGTGACACTCACATCGTGCGAATTCTTTAAAATTCTCGTACTTTTATAATTGATCACACTCTGTTCATTGTCATCTCTATTTGAAGTTCTTGGACTTATATCCTGTCTCTCAGGTGATACAACTGGTAACTGAGAGGCAGGTTGATGTTTATTCTGCCGTTGTATTACGTCTTGATACATATTATCTAGAGTAATCCATTTAATCAAAAATTCATCGGCCGTTTCACAATCTGCGTAAAATTCATCTTCATTTGTTTCGTCGTCATTCAACCATTCATTGTAAATATCTTTATCAACTTTAAATAATTCGTCTGCTATACCTTTAAATAGTGTATGACACGCCTTTATTTCCGCAGTATTTGGTATGGGTTCCTTTAATAATTCTGATAACTGGTTCCCAGTCTTTGTGAATAATCGGCGTAAATTTGTTCTGGATTTTCTTAATCTCAACATTTTTCTTCTAGGTCACGGTCGCCAGATGTTGTGGTGGGGTTCTTTTTTGTTGAGATGGTGAGTTTACTAATAAATAATATATACGTTTACAGCAGAATAATTGTATTGTCTCTTTTTATATTATATTTACACTGATGTCAATCTATATTTTGTATTTTGACAACTAAACTATTACTCGTAATATATTAAATAACAAATTAATAAGTAGGTCGTATATACTCGTAACAATATTGTTTTGTAATTAAATCTCTATATGGTTACGTTTCTCTTCATTTTGCAATTGTGATAGTGCAAACAATAATTATACATACTATTATAAAATGCATTCTTATTCATAATTAAAGGGCAAGCAGAATCGATCTCAGAGGTCTCAGTACTCAGGTTTTGGACCAGTAGGACTGCACCTAGCAATAGTCCAAACTGCTAAATATAAGAAATTAGCAATCTATATTACATAGAAAAATATATGAAATACAATATGGGAAATATTTATGACACAAAATAGATATAATTATAAGTAAGTCAATAGAGAAGCTAAGCAGAATATTACTCCCTCGCCAAAAGGTAAGTATGAAGGTAATTTCGATAATTTTCATTTTAGAGACAGTTTCCTATACTCACGGTGGTATGTCCACACCAGCCTCTACTCCACAACCTTTCTTGTCAGCATAAAACACTTTTAAAGGTGCATTTTGCATTTTCTGAAATCTTCTATTTGTACACCGATCACCAACAGGACATCGAGAATTACTGTAAACCAAGAATAATAAAGTTAAACATATTTTTTCATATTTATGAATAATAACAGTTTACAATTGAAAAAAGGTAATTTACCATTCTATCATTAGTAATCTATTCAAACAGTCTTCACCACAAGCTAATTCCCCGCGATCTAATTCTTCTTTGGTCATGAAACAGTCACAAGTCATCTTTTTAGTCTCTCTGCTAATCATTCTTTCACATAAATACTCATTCTCTTCTAAATGTTCATACTGGTTCATCCTCTCTTCAATTATTTTATCATATGCTTCCATAGTTAATGGTGTGACAACAGGTTCATCTTCTTGGAGATCAGCACTCTCAGCAACAGGTTGCAAACGCTGAGGCAAATTAGGGCTCGCCAATGGTGAACTGGCTGGAGAATTTGTTCCCATTTCAAGCTCACTAGATCTACGCCACCTAGATTTAACTTTAACTGGCATGTCAGAAGGTACAGGAAATGATGGAGAGTTAGGTGCAGTAATTGAGATATCATTAGACTTTTCTTGACTATCAGAACTCATCTCCTCTAGTTTTAACTTTGTTTGCATAATTAAAGCTTTCTTTAAAGGAGTTTTTACTAATCCATAACCCTTAGTTTTCTGTTTCATGTTGCTAATTGTTTTTATACGGCTAGATCGCCGAACTCCTGTTGGAGATGACTCTGCAGAATCATTTGAATTATTTTGATTAACTTCTGTGGCTCTAGAGGAATTGCTGTCATCAGATAGTGTAGAACTAGGAGTTAAGCTAGGGTCAGGTCTCAATAATGGTTCACCAAAACCTTCCTTCAAAAACTGCAAATCAGGAGTATCACACTGAGGTATTCTACAACCCATTTGCAAATTTATCTGCTCATGGGAAGTATCTAGATTGAGATTCTCGAAATGTGTTTGAAAGTCTACATCATGCTTTTTATAAATTTCTTTATCCTCATTATGTGTAAGTGTTGTCTGATCTTTTGGACTATCTATTTGAATGTTATAATATAATTCAGGATTATCATCTTCCACTATTTGCACAATAGTGATAACTTCATCATCATCACCAGCAAACTCCACCTGCTCTATTTGCTCATCAGCCAATGGAATGTTCTGTGCAAGAGGATTCACCTGATTGGAACATACATCTGAACTGATACTTGTATCAATGTTTAATTGTTCCATAAATGACTTTTCTCCCAAATCTGGTGGCACTGGTACCAATGTAGAAGCTGCTTCCGATTCCATTTTTTCAATTTGATGTACCTTATCCTTTGGAAGATTTTGAATTATCAATGTGTCATTCACCATTGGTACAGGTGAAATATCTCTAGAACTATCATGACTTTGTGATGCATTAACAGAACTATTCATTGGACTACAGCAGGCTCCACTGTTCGTGTCCGATTGTGTGTCTAAGGCATTAGAGTCAGACTCTGAGCTAGCACACAGATCAACAACCCTAATCTCTACACTGCTATTTGTTTCACTATCACTACCAACTTCATATTTCCTAACAAATGATTCTTCATTATTAAATAGACGATATTTTCCGAATTTTTTGTGCAATGCCACTACTGGAGTATGAGAAGTCTTCACAGTAGTGGTACCAGACAAATCTATTAAAGCAGAAGATTCAGTTGAGGTTGCCGGTTGTGTAAAATCTTGACTGTTTGTGGTTCCCGACGTACTAGGCTCGACCGAAGGGTCGCCTTCCGCGGCAGCTGAGGTTGAAGGCACTTCGTTATCTCCTTGTTTAGTGCGTCGAGTCGTACGTCTAGGCGTAGAGGCGGGTTTTCCTACAGGTTTCTTACGTTTGGCCATTGTACGCAAACAACCTGCAAACAAAATTGTTTAATGTATATATAAAATAATAATAATATAATAGAATATAATCGGGTGGGGACCACTGACCTCTTTCAATCGTTATTGTTTGCAATTTAATTACTTGTCAATGCCACATGGTTAATTTAGTGTATAGTTTACAGAATGTGAAACACCAGCAAGAGTAATTTATTTCGCATATATTTTGAAGTTTAGCACATAGGGTTTGATTCGCGATTCGTGACTTTCAACAGCGTTACCACCGGTTGGTTAGGTTTGCATTAGTCAAATTGTAGTTATATTAACAGTTACTTACCATTATACAAGGAATCAACATAAATATTCACATTACTTTCATGATCACAAACAGCATAAGCGTTTTCTAATATTTGAATAATCTTAATTAACTAAAAAATAAGACATGATTTTTCAGGCAGTTTATTTTTTTTTTATTAAAGGGGTAGGAAGGGGGAAAGTAAGGTCTGTCGTCGGTCTGCCTTGATAGTTATAGTTAGGCGAGTATTACATTATCAATTGAATCAAAGGCGCTTTATTATTCTTATTATATTAAGAAATACATGTCTGTTATATTAAAACATTTTGAAATATTCATTCTAGTATGGAATTGATTTAATGAATCAAATTTCAAAATATCTACTGCGTCGCGTCGTTAAGGCGTTAAAATGCAGATAATTACAATCCATTATTTTTGATAATATAAGATCCCTTTTACTAAGATATATAACAGATTATCTATCCAGTACCACAGATAAAGTATATAGTGCATGTATACTTTGTGGTTGGTAAAGTATTGTCATAGTTAAATAAGGGAAGATGTACGTGATCTCGAGTGTCGACATGTCTACAGTCCTGTAAAATCAGATTAACAGCCAGGCATCTTCCTTTTTTAATCACCTTTAATTTTATCCAGGTAATATTTAATTTGCATAAAAAAAGTCAAAATCTGTACCGTTCGTTAATGTGACACGTTATTTCTGGTAACACTGAATGCCGACTGCCGACAAACGATTTCAACCAACAAACATATTTTTGTTGTAATTGTTTAATTGCGTTTCTACTTTCTATAACTTTAAGAACATAACTGAATTACGTGTCGTATTTCTATAAAACAATGGCTGAAACACCAGAGGTAATTTGTTTATCACATAAAAGATCATAAAATATTCTACATCAAAAATATGAGACACGTCACATTGTGTTAGTCCCTCATATTTATATATTTTAAATTTTAAGTTATGGAAAATATGTATTATTAAATCGAAATAAAAAATATATCCTATAGTCCTATTATTAATTTACATATGTATATGTTTTAGACTCGATATTATTGCTTACTTAGGTATAATTGTACTTATTTTACAGGTTGTTAAAATTAACAAATGGGATGGTGCAGCCGCAAAGAATGCTATTGATGATGCTGTAAGAGAGGTATTATAATATTTTTGTACCTATATGTAAATTACTTATGAAATATTGAATATGGCAATTATTTTTATATAGGGTTCATCTGGATACAAGGATGTTAAGAAATTTTATTTAAAAAGTATTAAAAGGTCTAACTGGCCAGTAGGGTAATATAAGTTCACCTATATATTATGACTGATGTAAAATGTAATGTTATCAGCATGCCAATCAGCATAATATGTTTTATAAATATTACTATGATATCCGGTTTACTTTTTATGAGTAGCTTGCCTTATAGGACATGTTAATTATCTTAATGTTGCGATATACTGTACATATAACAACAGCTTCATGCTACTACCAAAATACATATAACAAATCAATATTTTTTTATGGCTGATGATATAATAATAAATTATTTATTGTAATTACAATAGCACATGAATGACATTATTAAAATATGTGTCATAGAGAGGTTAGCATAATATGTAATTACTTTTGTAATATTAATTACTATCTGAATAGAAGTATTTCTATATTACAGTGCTGACTACTTATAACTTAACCACTACACTTGCCATCTTCTTTCAACTATTAAAATAGCTAAAATGTATATGTCAAATGTTTAATAATAAAATAAATAGTAATTGAAAGTCTATCATACAAATTGTAATCCAAGATACAATTGAGAATCATATTAACAGGATATGTGTTGTATTATAAGGGTGGCAGATTAGCCATATAAGGGTGGCACTTGTTAGGCAAATGATAGGAATGACTTTTAAGTGTATACTGTCTCATTTATTATTATAATCAATCTTTATGTACTACATATTACTAAGTACATTCATCCTTACAGTATCATAAACTATAGGTAACATTGTAAAATATTTTTTTTATTGAATTACAGGTTTTGACTGGAGACCTAAAGTGTAAGGAAAGTTTTGCTCTCATTGATGGACGGCTTTTCCTGTGTGCACTGGCTGTGGGTGTGGCCTTGTATGCTCTACTGTGGGACTACCTTTACCCCTTTCCACAATCAAAGTAATTATGCTTTCCTTAACTACTAAGAGATATTTTATTATATGTATATTGAAATGTATAAAATTCATATATTCAAATTGGACTTATTTAGTATTACCAGTAATTGTATAATATATCAAGAATTATGACTGAAATTCATATATTGTTACTTCTTCAAATATTATAAAAATATTTTATGTTTCTTATTGCAGACTTATAACAAACAGAAAATTAGGAAAAAAAATCATAAATTGTATATAAAATTTATTTGATATTAGTATAGATGACACTAGCTAACAAGTTCTCTAATATGTTGAATATTTTTGACTACTGAGGCGTCTCTATTTTTTAAATTTTTTAATAACTAATAACATATTATTATTTCAGATTGGTATTAATAATATGTGTATCATCATACTTTGTACTTATGGGTATATTGACATTATACACTACATTCAAGGAAAAAGGCATATTTGTTGTTGCTAAAGAGAAAGTAGGAAACAATACTAGAGTTTGGGAAGCCAGTTCTTATGTTAAAAAGTGAGTATAACAAGGTTTTTTAAAAATATATTATGTAAAAATTAGACTGACAATGTACATTGCAAATAATAAAAATTGTCATGAATGTTCTCCCAACACAATATAGGAAGTAAACAATTACTGACACCCCACAATCTTCAGAAGTAATGTATGTAGAGTGCCTTAGATGTTGAAGTCACCAGTACAATGTGATATTCATGACAATTTTTATTATTTGCTTGCTAGTAGAAAAAGATAAATAGTGTAGTGCCTACTATCACACAAGTGATTCTAAACTAATTAAAAGCTATGCTTATTTAAAATACAATATATGTACAATTGGCATATGTCAATATAGAATGCTAGTTGTAAATACAGCTATTTAATAATACAGAATCATTAATCTGATTTAATAATATTGTAATGGTCATGTTACAAATTCTTTATTTATTTCTATGGTTAATGTTTACCACTTCTTCAGAGCCCATTTCTTAGGAGTTCTAGATCTCTTCCAGTTCCTGCATTCTTATACTATACTACTATTTTGATTAGATTTAGATTTTAATCTGCGTGAACTGTTACATGAGTCTTCTTTTCTTGATATAAAAGATAGCCTAGATCATTCTTTGGTATAATCAATTACACTAAATTGCTTTATGATCTGTTCAGCTGTTTAGCTATAAAAAGGTAACAAAAAGAAAGACACCATTCAAATTTATAATATTAATTAATAATATGCATAATGCAAAATAATAAATAAAATTTGAGCTGTATCATCTCTGACATATACTGTACATTACTTAAACCAATGTAAAATAGCATACTTTTGTTTAAACCTTAATTTTGTTTCAACTATCTTTCTAAAATAAAATAAATACTATACTTTCAGACATGATGATAAATATAACTTGATACTGGTGATGAGAGATTGGAATGGCAAATCCCGTGAAGCTTCCATTAATAAGTCCTTTGCTAACTTTATTGATGTCAATGGCACGATAGTACAGAACCTCGTCCTCAATGAGATTACAAAGATATACAACTCCCTCTCCACAGAGAAAAAAGAGAAGTGATTGCATTGCACAAGTCTTCTATTTAAGGTCTGACATTATTGTAATATTGTCTCAATAAACTATATTGATTAATATTCTACATTTTTACTTTATTACCTCTATGGTGTACTGAAAGTGTCATGGAAAAGAACATAGAAATATATAGAACAGGTAAATATGGCAGCATTCCTTAAAAAAATGTGTTGAATTAAAATAACAGTAGGAACATTTCATACAGAACAACTGAGGACTCACATGATCAAGGTAAGTACAAAAATGGTTTCATCTAACTTTAACTCATGACTTACTCACTTAAAACACTAAACAAAGTATATACTAGAGATATTGTACTCTACAGAGTTTTTGTCCATAACGCACCCTACCATACATATACGTGTAATAGCTAGTTTACAACACATTAATCTATATATATAAATAAAATTGACGTGTCTGTTTGTAATATTGAAATAACTCCATTTTTTACTGCATGCATATGAATATAAATACGGTACGTATACCAAAATAACATTACATTTTTTATAATCTTTGTCTGTTTGTTCCGGCTAATCTCTGTAATGGCTGGACCGATTGTGACGGGATCATTTTTGGTAGATAGCTGATATGATAAGGAGTAACATAGGCTACTTTTATTTTAGAAAAATAAAGTTAATTCCCACGCGGACGCGGACGCAAGTACAGTTGGTATTTATAAAAATATGTACCTATAACTAGGTCTGCTCGGGGTTATACATAATACTTATGTAAAATTGCCTATGTATTATTCTGATGTATAATCTATATCACTGTATCACAAGTTTCATCAAAATCTGTTCAGTAGTTTTTATGTGAAAGAGTAGCTAACATCCATCCGTCCATTCATACTGACATACTTTCGCATTTATAATATTAGTAAGATTAACGACTAATAATTATAACCTTGACTTCCTATGTGTGTACACGTCCATGTAATCTATCCATATAAATAAAATTGGAGTGTCTGTTTGTAATATTGAAATAACGGTTTTTTACTACATGCATATGAATATAAATACGGTAAATACATCAAAAAGCACTTTTTTTTAACATTTTTGTCTGTCTGTCTGTCGGTCTGTTTGTTCCGGCTAATCTCAGAAATGGCTGGACCGATTATGACGGGACTTTTTTGGAGGTAGTGATGTAATAAGGAATAACTTAATTTAGCTACTTTTATTTCAGAAAAATACATTTATTTTTAGAAAAATTAATTATTTGACTAATTTAAAGACCATATATTTAATTTGTTTAACATATATGTTGACCTTTATTTTAAAACATTATTATGTTAACATTTTGTCCTAATTCTATGTTTAACAGATATAGGTACAAACAATATTCTCGTAGTCACGATTTTACGCTTACATTGTATGTACGTACATATGTAAACATTGTGTTTCAAATCTATTTTGTCATCTTATTACACTGGTAAGTGTAATACAATAACAATATAATGTAGATTTGAAATGGTTTTCCACCACGATACCACAAAGAAGCTAAATTTAAATGTTATTCTGTAAACTTATATTTTTCCATACAAGGTTTTGAACGTTCTCATGTACAAAAATTCTCATGTACTTAGTTTCGATGTCCTGAATTACATCCAAACCGCTTTACAAGCTGCTCTTCATTTATACAGCCAATATTTACCACGTTTCACATCAGTTGATCAGTCAGGTTTTTTTACAGAACCCGTAACCTCATTTATTCCAAGCAAAATGCTTACTAAGTCACAAAGGTCGTCATTTAACGAATTCACTACGTCACTGTTTAATCGCCTCTAAAGGAAATCATGTAATTGGCTACATAGTAATCAATGTCATTTTTAATCAGATTGTAATATACCTATTGCTATATGGAAGTACAATTCTGATAATGATGTAATGAACACATTTGTATATGTTCAATATCGTGGGGCTAGAGCCAAGAGAAATTTAGCCGGTTATATTATAAAAAAAATATTTTCTATGTTTGTAAAAATATATATTTGTAACGTTACCCATACATGATATAGGTATGTTAAAAACATATATTATGATAAAAATGTATCCGACCGTCATCTGTACATCCTTACTTCGACATAACGCCCCAGGGATTGTGAACCTAATACAACACATTACAAAACCAAACATTTTGCAAGAATATTTTTTTTTGTCTGATTGTCTGTGCATTTTTGCGCGCTATATTTAAAAAAAACACACATTTTGAATTTAATTATCCAATTGGATAAATAAAAAAAATTATACGCAAATAAATATATAAATGTCAAATTTATACTCATGTTTGTAAAAATATAAATTCAACTGTTTCTAATCTTATTCCATTTTCTTATACATGATATATGTATGCCACAAACGTATATTATGATAAATCTGTCAACTCGAGTTGTGCTGAATTCGAGTTGACTCAAGTTGAAATCTCCCAACTCGAGTTGGAAAAAATTCTAAATGCATCAAACAAGGGGGCCCTTGTTTGATGCATTTACGAATCCCTAGTGAATGGACGTGTAAAATGTAAGAAATGCTCGGAATCATTTTAAATATGTAGGATATACGAGCTCGCTATTGAATAATATTAAATAAAATCACTCAAATAGCAGTTGACCTGCAGCCATACATGTGCTTAAATTAAATGTGTGGAGTGCCTCAGAGATGCCATATGGAAAGAAATCATTTTTATTCGGTTGTCAGTTCTTCATAGTATGGCTATCCATTACTAGGTACTATTTCAGTATTACTTCTGAACCCTTTAGCTGATTCCATCAACATATATGAAAGACTTTCAAAATTTTATTCTAGTAAACATATATATTATTTAGAGTTTGTTGATTCCAGATTCCAGATTCCTTATTCTGTACGCTGGAGTAGAAAGATATAGAAAGTATTTTTTTAATTTTCGGAGCAATATAATAAATAAATTTACTTGCCTATTGCCAACAGCCTAATCACTACAGTAATTAAAAAATATTTTGGTTTGTCGTTGTTTCCAAAAAATTTTAATAATGTTTTCTTGTCTGCCTTTTTCTTAAATCAACCGCTCCATATTGTAACAGCCAATAATCATATATTCAAATTTATGATGCTATCATAGAACACTACTAGAATATATAAAGAAATGAAATATACCTACTCAATATCCAAAACACAACTTTCTTGGTAGCCGGTAATTAATAAATAAATAAGTTTATCTGTCTAAAGCTAATTATAATAGGTAATTAAAATACCACAATATCAACTACCTCCGTTTCGTATCGTTGTTTAATGTTTAATGCGGATTATTTAATGTTTATCTAACATTTTTTTACTAGGAATATTTAGGCAAATAGTTTTTCTATTTATTTAGAAGTAGCTGTTACTCGTGACTTTGTCTACTTTCTATTATATAAAGATTCCGTTCAGCCGTTTAGTCGGGAAAAGGTAACAAACAGACCGACAGATACAGAGTTTTGTATTTACGATATTAGTATATGTACATATATAGTTTAGACCAGGCTGATAAGTGGAGCATGAGATCAGATCAGTTAGCACATCATGGCGAATTTACTAGGAATTAAGTCGTTGGTTTCTAGGAGGAACCGCGTGGTGGTCGCTCTGACATACATGATACATTCTTAGTAATGGAGGTCACAAATTTTATGGAATTTTAGAAGTGGGGGCTCATTTCTAATATTCCATTCCTCCATTATCCTAGAAATTAATTATTTAGAATATTTTTTTAATCAATTAATTTGTGAATCGATCATAATGTTACAGTAGTTGTTAGATAGGTATTAGCATGCATAATGCTGCTGCTTTTTTAAGACCAGCTTAGTTAAAACAATCATAACACAGTTCCTGTAGCTTGAATAAATGTAGCTTTTGAAATTTTATATATACAAATAGACGAATTTCCTGTACGATGGAATTTTATTATCTCAAAATAAGCTTTTACCACTATTTCTGTTTTAAAAAGTATAAGGATATTAGTTACGGTACTAGATACTAGATGGCGCTATAACGATCTTTTATGTCACCTGAAGTTAGTGATGTGCTATATCTGAAGTTAGTACGCTATACTGTCAATAGAGCAATGACTCAGGATTGAAAGAACGACGCTACAATAGGGTGACAAACAGTAGAGTCTATTGAGAATCAGTAGACAGGGCGGTTAGTCAGTAGGTCGTTTGGATACCGGGAATGTTTTGGCCGGTTGTGTGTTATAATATTTTACGATTAGCTAACACCTTTTTAATATAGTACTGTGACTGTGATAGTGTAAATTATATAACAAATTATATTGTGATATACATTCTGTATTAAACTAATTCAAGTTTAGCTTATAAGGATAAATTTCCTTATACGAATCTGTTATAAATAATCGTATACAATTATTACAGTAATCGTCGTGTTATAAATTTATATTTTTAATACTAATTAAAAATAACTACAGGCACATGTTTTCATCGTAGCAAGCCCTCTAATATTTAATATAAGGTAAGATATAATTTATATGTTAACTATATTATTATATTAAACTGGTGGTGCAATTTTTTCAACGTGTTATAATTTTATATTATAAAGATTTTAGGTAAAAAGGTGTTGACGGTAAAATTATGTTATATTAGCTAATTAGGAATTTTAGATTATTGTATATTAGCTGTATATTATATACCTATGTAGGTGTAAATGTACACATAAAATAGTTAACTTTTTACAATACAATATGAGTAATATTAAGCTGTAATTTCTAGTGATTGTTTTGGGATTCTATAATAATTAGCTACACGCTTGGTTACACTGTCGTTATGACATCATCATTGTGACCACGCTCTGTTTCAAGGACTCCCAGTATAAGGATATACACATAGGTGTGAGTAGCTTCTCAACGATACATAGCCTACTAATATTTAAGGTCATTGTCTAGGTCAAATGTTATTTAATAAATACATAGTTAGGATTTTTAATTTAAATATGCAATTTTTCACACTACTGAATTAGCATGTAGCTGCAATGTGATCTGAGTTCACGCGTTAGCCGCTATTAAACCCACTGCAATGATTTCGCAAGCTACATCTATTTTTGTTCTGGCTTGATACTTTGGCGTGCAATGTACTTGTGATACCAAAGTAAAACAATAGTCTTCTACTACTCCTGTAAAGACGAGCATCGTGGGGACCGTGCGAGTGTGCATGAACTCCCAGTAAGCAAGCAGTTGCCTCAAATAAAATTGAAGCTCAATTCGACTGAATCGAATCTTTGCCAAGAATTCGCCGATACTATTATTTTGCTCATATATCGCATAACTATACGGTCAATAACACTGCAAAACTATTCTCTTGTCTTATTCGGCAAATAATTTGACTTGACTATGCGAGTGCCGAAGTAATTGGCATTAAATTAACTAGCCCGATCATTAAAATATATATAGTAAAGCATTTTATTAAAGTATTTTAAAATTGAGAAAATATAAGAAATGCTAAACTATATCTCAAAACCATAAAACTGTTTATCAGAAGTCTAAAATCTCACCCACATATCTTCTTTGAATAATTAATCTACATAGCTACAAAGTAATTTGCGCTATGACGTAACAGGGGGGAAGCTAGTTCATTTATGAGATAAATGTAGATGTAATAAATTGTGGTACTATTCCCGTGGCCTTGTCTGATAACAATATTGGTTACATAGGTACAACACGAGACACACACGTATTCGAAACGAGACAGATAAGACGGAAGTGATAGATAATCTTTTTCATTACGCTTCTACAAAATTTGCTAATCAGAAATTTGACTGATTAATGAGTTTTTTTGTCATATGTAATTTATGTGATTTTATTAAATCTTATCAATCAGTCTCCTATTTTAGAGCCTATAAGCTGATTCAAAGCTTAAAGAGTCAAATAAAAATAGTTTAGTTAATTTATAATCTTCTCTTTAAAACAATTTATTATTAATGTATGCTCTATTATTTTCCATTTTTAAGCACTTTTCGAACGCTTGATATCAATGCTGGCATCAAAAACTTATAGCAAATGACGAATCATACTTGGTTGAAAAGAAATTCTTCACCATAATTTTTTAAAGGTAGTTAATTTTATTATAACTTTAGTAATTCTTTACAGCCAAAAAATCATTTAATGCAATTTAATAGTTATACTCACTTTGTTTGAGTATTTTTGAATTAAATTATTTGCTCTACTTAGTTTATTTTTATCATATATAGGTATATAGGTAGGTATATTACTTTTTTATAATATTCAGTATACTTACAAATGAAATACATACGATTACTGTCATATCTTTTCTGTTCAATAGTAGTCAGATTTATCAGTGCGTTTTCGACACGGTATTCTAACGTGACACAGTTTAAATAATTTTTCCTACCTATAAAAAATGAAAGTAGTTACCTTAATCTTTTACATCATTATATTGTCTTGAGCATAAACAAATAGCAATTGTTTTATATTAGATGAAGATAACGTTAGATACAACTGTATCAACGATAATTATCTACTTATCCTATCTTTATTTGCAGAAAATGTCCCGTAGAAGACTATTGATAGGCGGCACTACAGGAGCGGCGACAGCTGTATTAGCCGCATGGGCGTTATCAGCGGATGACTCAATTGCGGTATGTATCTAGTGAGAAGTGTATGTTATTACAATATTTTCAGACTTTATGGTCCAGCTAACTTTTTTCTTAAAAGTTTCGCTGTGCATTGATAATCATCTATCAGTTTATAATTATATCTTATCTTAATTTGTAGTAATACCAAACTCCAAAATCCAACAACTGCGATAATTTCATGCCTATATATATAATATAGTATTATTATATGTAGGTATACATTTTTTGTAATTGTCTTTATAAACTGTAATCGATAAAGTGTTAATATTTTTTATTAGTGCCAAATCATTTGGTGTTAATAATGAATCACTAAAGCTAAGCGTGATTTACTTTAACGCACATGCGCACATCATATGATGATCACACCACTCTATTTTATTGTGTAAGTGGGTTTCTAATAAGTTACACCTATATCTATGATACACATGCCTACAAGCAACTATTTCAGATTACAAATAGTATATATTTATAATATGGTGTTAACTTTAAAAAAAATAATAAATGTTCCAACAATTTTAAAAGGAGTTTCTTGTTTTGATACTCATATATCTAATTATAATGTTTGAATTTAGATACTTTAATGTTAGGTACGTAGGATTGTCACAATAGATACGCCATTAAGAAATAACGTAATTTTATCCTTGTGGATTAACACTCGTAACGTTTTATCTTGCTTCTCGATGCCTAAAATTAATCATCAGGATAACCAGCAATGTAATTTTAAAATTATCTCGTATTATTTATAGTTGGAATCTTGTTTAGAAACTAACCAACTTAAAACTAGTCTTTAAATTGTTTAACCATTTTGCGCCATCTATTATCAAATAGCATATATAGACATTATAAATTGACATCGAAACTAGTTTAAATAAATCACGGATAAATGAATACAATTGTACCTATTTGTACTTTATTGATATGAAAGGTTGATTTATTATTCTGGAATACCTATATCTCTGCTAGATTGATAATCATGATTTTTTATTATTACAATCGTTGTACGTTGAGGCCCATAAATCGAAAGAAATTGTCCGGGAATTTATCACGATTGTTTTCAGGGGAACTGTGAAGGTCATTGTGACACATTGTGAGTAATGTCATTTGCTAGCAATGTATGCTAGCAAATGGCATTATTAGTCTACATTACTGACAATCCCCTTCGCCCTACGAGATATGTTATATGATAAAAAAAAGTATCTGGACGAAGTCGGGATGTATGATAATTACATTAATTGATGGATAGTATATTAATTGTATTGTTTCGTTATATATACAGAATTGGTACAAACGTTCAAAAGTTGCCGCCAAAACGGAAAGGAAGAAGAGGCCTCTGCCGTCACGAACTGAACAGGTGGCGAGCCTGCAGGCTGGTCATACGTATGACATACTCATTATTGGGGGTGGTGCCACTGGAGTCGGCTGCGCACTCGATGCTACCACTAGAGGTATCATTTTCTTTAATCGATGATAATAGTAATTTGCGCTCTTATATGCTTACGGTATGAGATTAGGATGTAGTTAGGCCAATTGGGATGTGGTGGTTAAATTACCACAATGGTTTCCTGAAGGCACTGCGTGGAAGTCACCCGAATAGTTTACCTAATAATCTATTACAAGCAATTGACAGCCCCGGTAATCTAGCGGATTAGCCTCACTTCCGATGGTCGCGGGTTCGATTCCACGCACGGTACGGTGTATGCCTTTAATATACAGCATTATTTAAATTCTTTTTTATTAACATAAGTTAACGCGATCACTGCAGAATAATTGTAAACACAGCTTCTAAATGTAGCGTTCGTTTTTTTGCCAATAAAAAAAAAGTCACGACCGGTTTGTTCTTATGCCCCCTGTATGTTATCTCATTATTGATAAATGTACAGACACACGCAAACTCTTGAATAGATAGAAAACGCTGTAATAAGTTAGGCAAAAAAATAAGATACCTACTTAAATAAATAATTTATTTTTTCATCAGTGAGTAGCGAGTATCTACTCAATAAATGTTCGATCTATACATATATTTTTTATGTAATTGAATGTCACACAAGCTGACGGTCCCTTTGGTAAGTGGTAACCGTCACCTATATGAACAATACGACGATTACCTCATGTGAATACCGTGGTATAACCCTTATATGTGGCCATTTATGAGGACTGAGGTATCAAGCCTCCGTACCTTGTAATTTCAATGGTAATGGTATCTACCTTCAAACCACCTCTACAGGGAACAAAGTTATGTAAAGTAGATGAGTTTATATATGTATTCTGGAAGAGATTGCTTAGCGATAAGACCGAGTTTTTTTTATCAGTTAATGTATAGATATTTGCTATTTTAATTATTTCCTGTATTTGGTGCAATAAAGAGTAAATAAGTCTCCCTCTGGTAGCTAGTGCTATCATAATACTATTTACCTATATTATTTATTTATTGAAACTTTAATGCATAAATGCACATATATAGATGCATATGGCGAACTTAACACCTTGAGGCATTTTGTCCCAGTCAACCATTGGGCAAACAGAGATTTTGACAGTGCCCACATAAATCTAAATAAAAATTATGTATATGTATTATAATAACAATGTATATATAATCATTGTCATAAATCCCTAATCCCATCAACCTTCTCAACCATCCATTTTGATTGTCCATTCAAGGTCTTCGTACCGCTCTCGTCGAAGCTGACGACTTCGCAAGCGGAACGTCCAGCAGAAGCACCAAGCTGATTCATGGCGGCGTACGATATTTACAAAAGGCTATCATGCAACTAGACTACGACCAGTATAAAATGGTGAAAGAAGCACTGCACGAAAGGGCCAACATGTTGGAGGTCGCGCCGCACCTAACTCGACCGCTGCCAATCTTGTTGCCTGTTTATAAGTGAGTTGACAACCTTACCTCTTGCCTTATTTGTCACAGATACATTATGTATACAGAAAAAAATGTCTCCAGACTGATTTATTAACGTATAGCAGTACATTAGTAGGTAATTACTGTAATCACGCCTTTTAATATATGTTTTTTTACATGGATGACAACGGAGACAAAACAGTCAGTTCATCGTGGTGAATTCACTAGGAATTATTTCTGTTCCCCATTAGTAACAACCCTCTTTTAAGTATGACTATGGAATGATGTGACCATTGAAAGATTGGATGAGGAAGTCAGGTTAGCACGCCCATCGTGTCTAATCTAATTTGTCGCGATGATTTCCATAGGATATCGCTAAATTGTACACCCGACAGCTGGGGATCGCTAGATTGATTCGCTAGATAGTGTTTTGTGTTTGCCTATTACCTTTTCTTCCAGGTTGTCTGTAAGAAATTGCTTAGCGAAAAGACCGCCTTTTCTATTTACTGTTTTTGTTATTATATTTCTTCCATGTACACCATTAAGAATTTATTATTATTGTTGACCTGAGGATGTATCCGACTATGAAGTCCCCATTATTATACATTTCCCGCCTATGTGGGTTTCGGGAATTGAACTGAATTCATAGAACTTGATACTTCATATATTTATAACATTGTATAGCCATACTTCGTTTAATACCTATCTACAAGCAAGTAACCACTTAATAAGTTGACAATCACGTAATTTTTTACACTAGTCCGATTATGACGTTTATTTTTTTAATAAGGACCTTGACTATGTATCTTAAGATTAATCTTAATTGATTATCTGATTGATATTACTGTCATTACAACACAAATTATTAGAACCAGTTATACTGAAACTATGTAGACCTTCATGGCTCGCTTCACAGACATTATAACCTTCTTGCAGCTGTTCTAGACAGTTTCTTTGTATTAACTAGGTTCCGGATTACATTTTGGATCGGCCGAATTAGGAAATGAATTATTTTTAATATATTTTAGGTAAGGACGTGGCATGATTATGATATCTGTGCTTATAGCCCACAGACTTCCAAAAGGATGTTCCAATTGTCTCAATAATTAGATATCTACTTTATCATCAGGTCCGATCATAATAATTATACGGGGTTACATGTGTTTGCGTTGTTCTAGGCGTTTTCTATGTATATTATGTATGTTTTTACAATAAAGTGTGTAATGTATTTACATATATCAGTTGTCTAGTACACATAACGTACGCTCTATTTAGCTTGGGATTAGATGTCGTCGTGTGAATAGTCCTGGGTTATTATTATTATTACAAACACATGGTCAATGTAGTATAAAACTACAATATTTGCTTTCGGATTCCCACTTAATTTCTTAGTCAATGTTTTTCGGCAAGTCATTACTGTGGTGATAATAGGCGACAATACGGTCTTGGCATTGCATTTTGTTAGTCATGAGGTTTAGTGTCCCCATTGCTAGCAATGTACCATGTTAGGTCGACCTCCACGCGGTTCCCCCTGGAAACCATCGTTATCATCACCATCATCATCGGTTATTTAATCACGATGGGCAAACTGACTTGACTTCATGCTCATCTTATCATTCAGCGGAGGATGATAAGATGACCCGCCCGCCACTTGCGCTAACGCTGGCGTTAGCACAGGCGGGTTCATCATTCCATTATCATCCATGAAAAAAACCCTTCACAACCAACTTCGTAATGAAATTTATTTAAAAGTCACTTATTTAAGAAATAATAACACTACTATTGTATATAGTTATCAAGTATAGTCTTGTATCGTCATAGATATTTATAATTTTTTCACTAATTATAACTAAGTATCTATTTTATCTATGACACAAGTATGTATTAAAATATATGAAAGTACAAAGGTACATACATCACCAATATCGTTAGCGGAAAGTATTTGTAGGTACAAAGGTATATCCTAATACTACATAATAACGCTGAATTATCATAATTAATATCGCTAATTAACGAAGTTGATGGCGCAGTACCAAAAACGCGGTTCCGGGTTCGCTCCTCGGTCAGGCGAACTTATAAAATTGACAATGTGTTGAAACACGTGACTAAAAATGTCAACAATATTTGTAGGTATGTATATGTGGATCCAACATTTGGCTTGTTCACATTTCGCCGAATGAAACTTAATAGAATCTAAAACGCCGATCGCCACTATCTTTAAAAAATCTTTGATTTGCTATTGGTGTTTCCATCACCGGAGAATCAGTACCTTGACACACAATGTTTTTTGACTAGCCCAAAATACAATTCATGACCTTTGAATCTTATTCGAGTAGTGTATTTCTTTATATTTTATCTGTGGAAAATTCATTCAAAAAGTCCTCTCCACCATAGCGGATAACTCGGCCAACAATTTTTTATACACTACGATGTTGGCAAACAAGCATACCCATCTGTTGGTAAACGGTTACCGTAACCTATGGTCGCCTGAAACACCAGAGGTGTCATGTGGGCTTTGTCGTAACTTAAGAAACCTTAATATACCCTTCTTGAAAAACCCATGCTATGGACTCTCGAAAACCTCGGCAGGTAGTTCATTCCATAATCTGAGCATACGCGGGAGGAAACTCCTCTGAAACCGCACTGTCCGAAACTTCTTATGTTCCAGTGTGTGAGGGTAATAATAAATTAATAAATACAATAATAATAGTAAAGACATTTAGTCAGCATTACAGTATTCTTATTTACTATACAACTTAAAAGCTAAAACATACTAGTAACGCTGAATACGACTCCCACTCAGTATTTATACTGTAGTACAACTAAGTTGTACCACATAAATATATACATATATGTTATTATATTATACTTCTTTTTAATTCTCAGATGGTGGCAAGTCCCGTACTATTGGTTTGGCATCAAAATGTACGACCTGGTCGCCGGCGACAGAAACGTGAAGAGTTCATATTACTTGTCCAAGAAAAACACACTGGAACTGTTCCCTATGTTGAAGTCGGACAACCTGTGCGGTGGCATTGTTTACTATGACGGTAAGTAGTGCACATCACTACACTACATACATATTGTGACAGCACATGTGTACTCTGAAGAGTGTAATTATATTGTATATATATATATATTAAGTAACTCACAATTAAAAAATACAACGTAAACTTATACCAAAGCAACTCGTTATGGTCAGATTTAAAAAAGTGTCTTAAGTGGAGAGAGGGGAGAGGTTTGGACTGTGGCGCTGTTACGGGTTCGATTCCTTACACAATACAGACATTTGTATGATAAGTATATATACATATATTTCTATCGTACTCATGATATATATATCATGAGTACGATTGTTTGTGTCTGTCTGAGTGTTTTCTTTGTATATTATGTATTATATATTGTATAGTGTGCACTGACAAAAAAAATTATTTATATATTTATATCAGTTTTCTAGTACCCATAACACAAGCTCTACTTAGTTTGGGACTAGATGGCGCTGTGTGTGTCATCGTAAGATATTATACTTATCCTTACATTTCTTCCAACATAATATCTTTTTACATTATAGCCTCTGTGTTATTCACATGTAAGCTATGTTACTGTAAAGTTTCATTAAAATCCGTTCAGTACTTTTTACGTGAAAAAGTAAGCAACATCCACCCGTTTATCTATACTCAAACTTTCGCATTTATAATATTAGTTATACTATAATTTGTTATACAGGACAGCAAGACGATGCTCGCATGAACCTCGCCATAGCCCTGACGGCGGCGCGGCATGGAGCTACTATCGCCAACCACGTCAGCGTGCTCAAGCTGCACAAAACTGCTGGCAAACTGAGCGGTGCCAGGCTAAGGGTTAGTTTTACTATCTCTCACGTCCTACGTTTTGTAAAAAAATACCTGTTCATGTCACTGGTTCTCATCTAAAATAGATATCCAAACTAGACAGTATAGGGATGACGGTAAATCCAAAATTAAAGTAAAAATTTTAGATCAAACTCATTTTGTTCTTTTAGGATTTGGACATTTTTTGCCAGTTCTGCATCAATAATATCCTATAAATAAAAATAAATATTTATTGCTCATTTTTTAATTTAATTAAACTGTGTTTTTTACTTCCATTTTGGTTAAAGTTGCCCTTTTTTTAGGAAAGTATGTAAAGTTTGTGCATATAGAGTTTGTGAAAATATTCACCTCTAGTGTATAATTCGCGATAATTTCTAATTAAATTTTAAATAAAATGCAACGGCTATTTGATGTTAATACATAGAGATAATATGCAGTTATTGCTCAAATCAAGGAAAGTTAATATAAAATTTAGTAGAAATATACCTAATAATATCATGTTTTCCCAGGACGAGATTACTGGTAAAGAGTGGGACGTGAAAGCGAAGAGCATAATCAACGCAACAGGACCCTTCACGGATTCCATCAGACAGATGGACGACCCCACCATCAAGAATATCTGCTGTCCATCCTCTGGTGTTCACATCGTCTTACCCGGTTACTACAGGTACGTGATACTTGTATTGTAGATATGTTATCTATTTATCTATTTCTATATGCATGGTTCTTAAGGAATTTATACTTTTATGTTATTTTCTTTTCTCCTATTTGCATATTAGCTACCTGCTTAATATGTAAATCCCTGAAGTTGCCTTAAAAATATTGCGTTCAACAGTAGGGCCGCCTTATTGTAATTATGCATGTACAAAGGGTACATGTATACTTACAAATAGGTAATGTAATATAATGTTTATCTTTTCTTTAGGATATGTTACAAATAAAGTATATTGTATCGATTTATTGATATAATATATACCATAAATTACTCGTAGGTGACTCGCGGTCTGCGTCACATTTTCCTTGTTTTTGTAAAATTTTCATTAGAGCTCCTCTCTTTGTCTTAGCGTGATATTATATAGTAACATAACAGTAACAATAACCTTCATGGATAAATGAGGTATTTAACACTAAAAGAATTTTACAATATACAATTGTACAGGAGATTTGCCGAACTTCCGAACTACAAACTCTACCTCTTATAATATTAGTACAGATTAATATTTTTATGGAAAACTCGTCTTTATTTTTAATCAATATGCAACCATAAAAGGTGAACGTATCGTTTGATTCACACAATTTCACATATGCCTTATTTGGGAATTCAATTTGACTCTATTATTTGTGTATAACGCCATATCTCCGTTATGGTACCGATTTTGATGATTCTTGCAATCCTTAATGGAATAATATTAATTTTGTCACGATCTAAGTTGGTTTTACAATACCTTAGTATTATTAACTAAATTAAGATACTCGATATATAAAATTATATTAATTAAATTTTAGTCCTGAACACATGGGTCTCCTCGACCCTGCCACCTCGGACGGTCGTGTGATCTTCTTCCTTCCATGGCTGAAGGGCACCATCGCTGGCACCACCGATATGCCCTGCCAAGTTACACACAGCCCCAGACCCACCGAGGATGAGATTCTCTTTATTCTCACCGAGGTCAAGAACTATTTGAATCCTGACGTTGAAGGTAAGTCTTCCGAATGTTTTCATATTTTCACATTTTTGTTTGGAGAATGTATACGTGTCACTGTATAACATGAATTTACTTATTGTTTTGGTATTTCTACAAAAATAGATAATATAAATTTATTAACATATATATATATATAACAACATGTCCATAACTATATGTAATTTTTTTATATTAATTAATGCTTCAGTCATTAAAAAATACACAAAAGTCCCAAAATTTTCACAACATAAGACTGCAACAAATGTTCCATCGTCTTATATTTTTAAAAACATTATTTGTAATCCTATGATTTCGAATTTATATTCAAACTCAAATGCTAATATTACACATATTGACTTAGGCATGCCTTTTAGTATTATATGAGATGTAATATTATAAGATATAAGATTTCCCGCCAATAAAAATAAAAATAGGTCTGCCTAAATAAAAATAAGTTATCCGTATTTGAAGTTGTCTGGTGCACTTTCTGAAATAATTGTAGCAGCGTACAAGTACTTCGTACACGCACTACTTTTAGTCCTTTGAATTGTCCTTCACAGAACTCTTATCTCACGGCACGTGTTACTCATTAACCACGCGATGTTCAATTTTCATTTCATTTATTCATAACAATTTTACAATACACATTGTTTTTAGTTAATACCAAGGATATTATGGATATGAAATATCGGATACAGGTAGGTATAGGAATGGTTATTATACCGGATACGGATATGCAATTATTTCGGATCATCCGTTAGTTTCGGACAATTTCGGTTACGGATATTATTTTTTTAAGAAATTTCAAAAGTAAATTACAAATAGTTAATAAATTATTATAACGTGCCTCAATTATGCTTCACCCTATCCGTTATTATCCGAAATTTTTATTTGGGATTCGGTTAGATTACGAATATTTATTTATATCGGATATCCGATAGTTTCGGTTACGGAGCTCCCTAACATCCCTGGTTATTATATAGCATCTTACTGATTTTATAAACGCGAAAGTTTGATGACATGAATGGATGGACGGATGTTTGCTACTCTTCCACGCTAAAACTACTGAACAGATTTTGATAAAACTTTACAGTAATACAGCATACATTAGAATAGCACACAGGCTATAATTTAAAAATATATTATCTAAATTAGGCGAAATATAATAATAAATGTCAAGTAAGTGCGATGCAGACGAAGCTGTGCAGGTCAGTTAGTAAATATATAAATTTGTACGCTGCTACATCTTATAGGTAATATAAAATTCTCGTGTCATAATGTTAGTTACCATATCCTCCGAAACGATTGACCGATTTTTATGAAATTTTATATGCATATTCAGTACGTCTGAGAATCAGCTACTATCTATTTTTAATACAAAATGTTGTCCACCCTGAAAAGTATTTTAATTAAATTTGTCGTGATGAATAACGATTTGATTTATATTTCCAGACAACATTGCGGGGTCAGAGTATTATATTTAATATTATAAAAAAGATTTCAATACACGATAATATGTATAATTTTACTACAATTTAAAACACCATTCGCTGGCCCGCAAATGGTAATTTATTCGCTGGCGGCAAGTGGACCACCTACCGCTCAATGGCCGCGGAAACCATCGACGCCGCCATACACAGTGAGCACTATCTCTCTTTCTAACCATGTATCCCACATGATCAGGTCAGTTTTATGAAATGAAATAACATTATTGTTTTGCGAAATATTGGTTCAGTACAATAGATACATTTTGGTAGAAAATCTGTATCCATACTGATATATTTTAAGGTATGTCAAAGAAGCGTTTATATTTTTTTTATTCAGATGATATGGTGTATATAAAAAAATATATTATAAACGCAAAACTATGTCTGTCTATCTTAAAAAAAGCGAAACACGGTAATAGCTATAATTTTACTACAATTTAAAACACATAAATGCCTACTTTCTTGGTAACGTAGGTAATCGAAAGTTATTTTCTTTTGGATAATCATTAAATTAATCAAATACTGGCACCAGTGTACTGGCACGGTAAACTCAAAAGTTATATATATATAGCTATATAAAATGAAATTTTATTTAATATAAGCAATATAACAAGAATATCATTGAGAAAAACTCTCACAGAAAGTTCACCCTTCCTTCGTTTTGTGTTTTAGGTGCAAGTCTAAAGCCGCTTTTCCGCGAGTGTCAGACTGATGGGTTCCTTATTGAGGGTGCTCACGGCTGGACGCCTACCATGTACATTAGACTAGTACAAGACTTTGGCTTAGAAATGGAAGTAAGTACTAAAAGAAATGGACACTATAACAGACGAATATGAAAATCAAGACATGAAATTTAAACAAAGAAACGTCGTTTTTACCCCCGAAGCTAAAAGTTTGCCATGTCTGTGTGTCTGTCTGTGGCATCGTACCTCTTGTCATTCAGGGTTATTTCAAAGTTTTGCTTTTATAATTATATATATATATATATGCAAAACTGTTATAGTGTTGTAATATTTAAAAACATTATGATACTTTGTTCAGGTGGCACAACATTTAGCGAAATCATATGGCGACCGTGCGTTCGCTGTTGCTAAGATGGCGGCGATGACGGGCAAACGGTGGCCAATCATCGGCAAGAAAATACATCCAGAGTTCCCGTACATTGACGCTGAAATTAGGTAAATATGCTTCAGGATGGCTACAGTTAATCGGTTGTAGGATGCGATTAGGCAGTGAAGTTACAGATTAGAGCCCTCTGGAATGGCAATATATGAGTAACACAGGTGGCGCATAATATTTTATAACGTAATGTATGTAGAGTAGACGACGGGTATAAGCGATACCCGTCGTCTACTCTCAGGTCAACCATCAGGTGGACTACCAGCTGGTTTCCAATTACATAAAAAAACCTATTCCCTATTTTACAATATTTGCTTGGACCGCTAGTATAGTTAGAGATTAAAAAGTTTTCACCAAAAAAAATTATAAATGTGACATTGTGAAGCTAAAAACATCGTTTTTATCTAACACAAAAGTTTAGAAAATAAAATGCGAAAACTGATAAGAAAATATCATAGGAGAAGGTCACCGTGATCAATACCTTTATCTTTTTTTAACTGTAAGTATTCTGTTCGAGAATCGCCTTCAATACTTATACTTTTTTAATAATATGTAATAATATAGTCACAAAAATGAAATAATAATCCGTTCAACAACCTCTTAATAAGAATTCCACAGATTAGCACGGATTTCGTAATATTGAATGGACATCATTGTATCGTATTAATTTATTACTATATTGTATAAACGTGGAGTTCTGGATATGTGATAATGTAAACAATGTCGTATCAACAGCATGAGTATTATTATATAATGGCCTCATTTATATCGTTACTATGTTAAACTGTACTTATCTCTCTACGTTTTACTACAATAATTTTCATTCATAAAATTTCGTATACAAATTACATAATCTACTTATTATACGATAGAACTTAGCATAAAACTTGATTTGACGGTCTAAGTGGTCTAGCGGTTTAGCACACCGCTTCACTTCCGATGGTCCCGGGTTCGATTCCTCGCACGATACAAACATTTGTAGGCATTTATCACTATGGTTTCCGATACCACGGTCAACCTTACATAGTACATTGCCAGCATTCGGTTTATTAGTTTAGTATTAACAATATTTTTTTTTAATACATAGGTATTATATACATAGCACGATACAAACATTTTGATTACCTATACCAATTTTGACCTCCACGTGGTTGCCCCTGGACACCATCGTGATAAATTTCTGGTCAATTTGTCACGATGAGGTAACTGGCCTGACATCATGTTCATCTAATCATCCACCACTGGTGCCCCGCCAGCGTAAACCGTTAGCGCAGGCGGGTGCGGTTCATTATCAACAAAAAGAAACCGTCCATAGGTACGGCGTCCGCGAGTACGCGTGTACGGCTGTGGACATGATCGCGCGGCGGCTGCGGCTCGCGTTCCTCAACGTGCAGGCGGCTGCTGAGGCCCTGCCCGCCGTCGTCGACATCATGGCCGAGGAACTCAAGTGGACCGAGGCCGAGAAAGCTGTATGTAATGATAATAATCTTTATTTGTCTTAATATTGAACTATTACAATTGCTACTTATAATAAAATTTCGACCTTGGTGGTATAGTGATTTAACAGACTGTTCTTTTTTTACTTTTGTTAGTCGCGGGTTGGATTCTTGCGCTATACTAACCTCGACCCCACAATCGTTGACAATTTACAATGCCTCTCACTACCCTAGTTGGACTAACAGTCATATATTTTTTATATGACCAACCAAAATATTTATGAGTAAGATTGTTTGTAATTTGTATGTATTTACAAAAACTAAATGAAAGTGTATTTCTAACAGATGATTAGTAGTAATATAAGGCCCGTTTAGATGTGGTTATAAAATTTTCCTTATCAATTATTATTATGTTTCGTAAATAAAATGCTTTACCTGTGAATGTATTTATTTTCAGCGGCAAATTAAAACAGCGAGCGAATTTTTAGCCAACGAGATGGGACAAATGGTGAACCGGGCTAGCCGCGACAAGATACCGATCAATCTCAGCAAGACTGAGATCCAGACGTACATCAAGAGGTTCCAGATCATAGACAAGGATAGGAAGGGATTCGTCTCCATAAATGACATTAGAAGAAGTCTCAAGGTAAACTTGCACTAGCAAAATAAGAGAAGTTAATCATTATAGAGAATTATAAAAAAATATTATTAAAGTGTAAGGGTCACTGGAACCAGTGTGCTTGCATGTCATGGATTATAAATGAGAATGAAGCAAGAATCGTATGTAAGAACGGAAGTCAAAGGCACTCGGTTCTTCTCCAACCACTTGTTTATGAACTCTTGTTTATAAACTAATGTGTATTTATTTAAAATAGAAAGGGAGTATCTAAAATAATCAATGACTCTACATCCAGAAAAGCATAGATTGAAAATGGTATGAAGATAATTGTAGAATGTTCCAATAATTTCACTTTCGAGTAACGTGATATATTAAGTGAAAGTGAAAGGAAGACTTTCCTATTTTTGGGGAAGGTTTTATTTATTTGTATTTCAGGTACTGTGTTGGAATTCTCCGCTTGTATTTCTCCATATAACTGAAGCAGCTATATAACAGTAAACCTTCAAACCGAAACACAGCTTGCAAAGTAAGCTGCTTAATGGTTTCAATGGAATCTACAATATCCAAAATTAGCACCCGTTTTATATATTTATTTGGCTAAACAAAAAGTATTTTTAATGTTAATGACCTAGAGTTCAAAAATGTTATAGAGCATGGGTCTGACGCCAAGCCAAGAGGAGATCAGTGCGATCCTATCGGAAATTGACGTCACGTACAATGGACAGCTAGAAATACAGGACTACCTACAGGTAGTACTTAGATGGTGAACTGTATCGGGCTCGGGTCAATCAATGTTCACCGTGGGAATTACCTCATCTAATTGTTTGGGATTGGATCGCTTTGAATTATGTGTTCACTTCAAGTTGAACATAAATTTGAAATAAATATTTTTTGTCTCTATATTTGAGTATCTAAGACTGTTATTGCAATGTGGCGTTGAAGTGAACATATATTTCTAAATTGGGTATATTATAAAGTAGATATTAACACACTTGCATGGGACACTTAATGCATACTCATTTCTTGATAAATTATAAATGGCTGGTTGTTTATTTCGAAAACTCTGTTGACGTCAACATATTTTTTTATTGTTATTTCTTTTCGCATCCAGTTGTATAGTAGATTTTATTTATTTTAACTGTTCACTTAATTATTTATTTCTACCAACGCATAAGTTTGATTAGTTGGTAGAAGAAAATTCCTACTATTGTCAAACTCTTTGTTCAAAATTATATTCATAAATAATGTTACTTATAGTACAAGAAACTGTAAAATAGACAATTAAAAAACCCAGTACATGTACATGTTATTTATCTCGCTAAGAACTAGTATTGTAAGTACCTACATTATAATATTTATAAAACACTCAAAATATTCGTAAATATATCACTCATAAACGGTGAATAATATTATTAATCCCATATAATGTATTGGAAAGAAATAAACTATCCAGAAGTGACGCAGTGTGTTAAATTACTACATCTTTATACTACATAGTTGTCAACCAGCCATAGTAAGGATTATTAAATACTTAACTGATTTCAATGCATAAAATAAACAGAAAAAATACGCAGTGTTCCAAGCAACGTGTGACATAGTTATGCCATGTTCATTGTCCATACTTAGTTGTTGTAGTCGAAGCTTATGTCCACAGAACTACGGCGAGGAGGTGACCGGTGAACAGTTGCACGAAATATTGAGAGAGATCGACACTAACATGAACGGACAAGTCGAACTCGACGAATATCTGCAGGTCCATATCTATATAACTGGCTGACAATAAAACCTAATAACTTTGTAGTCTGTGCCAGTAAATAAAAAGAAAAAAATTGCGTTTACCAATAACTGCCATAGAGATCAGTACATAATCGATAAGAGATTAATATATAGAGATATTGCTTTTAATTTATATTCGTACTGTTGACTTTAGTAATTAATTCATTGACTAACGTGAATGATAAAACAAAGATTCCTCAATAACAGAATAGATATTGCATGATATAGAATAGTAGTTTGCATGGATAATTATGTTTCCATCATATCTATCTATACTTATTTTATTTTCAACGCTGCTGTGCTATTTAGTATATCGCTTTTAGGGGCATTTAAGCGTAAAATATATAGTACAATTATGCTGCTTATTAATTTTCAAATACTTACTGATTCTTGTGCTTACTATTTTTGCATCTTGGTAGTGGTTATCTTCTTATCCCCATATACTTAACTACTTACACACCATAATTCATCAATAAACCTATTAGTTCGTTGACTAACCTTCCCATTTTATCAACTGTAATAAAGGAAACATAATTTTTATTACGTATATATATATATATATATATATAAGGCGATTTGACTCTACAGAAAAATTAAAGATATAATATTTTTCACTAAATGGGTATGTACTAAATATATAAGTTATATATATATATATATTAACTTAAAAAATAATTTATATAATTTGTCTGCCTGTCTGTTTGTTCATGCTAAATTTCATATTATGACTTAAATAAGTTTTCAATAGTGTAAAATTAAATCTAGACGCAGCGCGGTCCTGGGTGACATTCGTTACAAATGATTATTAAAGTCATAATATACAAATATAGCTATGTCTACCTGATGTCTGAAATATATGTGGTAAAAAAATAGGTCTGAGAGTCAATTTCGCCATTTTGAATATTGCAATGACAGTAAAACATCCAGTAATTTTAATTTACACATTGGTTCTTATTTATTTATATAAATAAATGTAAGGTACATATTACTTATGTACCTACTTACATTATAGTGCGTATTGTGTAATGTACTTACATTACACATTAGTAATGCAGAATATTTGATGATTTAAAATATATTTGTTTTAACTTGATTTGTGATCAACAGATGATGTCGGCGATCAAGTCTGGCCACGTGGCGTACTCTAGGTTCGCTCGAATGGCGGAAATGGAAGAGGAGCATCACGAGAAAGAAGCTCTTAATAAGAAGATCACGGTAGAGAGGAGCGGCGGCGGCCTGTAAGCATCTTAGTACAAAGGTGAGATAGCAAATTTTTTTTAATGGGTGATAATGGAATGGTGCACACGCCTGCGCTAACGGTATACGCTATCGGGGCACCAGTGGAGGATGATAAGATGAGCATGAGGTCAGATCGGATAGCGTATCGTGGCAAATTCATTAGGAAGCATATTATAGGTCACATCTGTATATTGTCTCTACTAACTGTTAACTGTTGATCGGTTTTGGTTTTTTGCCGATTAGAAAACTTGATATGTCCCAACGGCAGGTCTAATCTTCAAAGTCGTGAAAGGCAACAGACTCTCATATTTGTATTATTAGTAGATATGGATAACGTTCAATATTTTAATTAACGTTAAAAAAGGAGGAGGTACCGTAGTTCAGTTTTTATGTTTCTTACCTGAAAACTTAGATATTTTTTTAAGGATGTACCTTAAAACTTAACCACTGTTCCCATTGAAATTTTAATTGCTTTCTCTTTAATCTAAAATTGTATTTTGAGTTTTATATGGAATTATTGCACGAAACCTAGCCGCGTTTGTAAATGATTGAAGCCAGTTTTATTGTGGTAACAAGTGTACTTGTCAGATATGAAGCTGATAGGGCCCGGTGGAAGATGACATACTGTGCCGACCCCAAATAATGGGATAAAGGCAAAGCAATAATGATGAAACATACTTGTCAGAGGTCAAATAGTAGATAACAATGACATCTATGAAAAAACGTGAAAATGTTATAACAAATTATTATTTTTAATTGCCTATTATATAATTGTTGATTATTACACATAATTACTTTACATATGAATGAAATTGTACTAATGGAAAATTCTTTATTCAAATAAACTTTATTTAAGCATTTTTGAATTGTCACTCTTTTTTATTCTACCAGTCAATTGGAACGCAGACTCATCACACAAGAAGAATAAACATGAAACTTGCGTTTTGCTCTTTTAAATGATTGTTGTAACTTTACATTTTAAAGTTAAACTGTGTAACCAACCAGAACTGATTCATTAGAGTCAAATATTAAATACGCAATCAACTGTGAAGAAACTAAGATTTTAGAATGTAGATATGGGATGTGAATGACTAAAATACCAACAACAGATTTATAAGACTAGTTTTATGTTTATTAAAATAATAATAAATATAGAGAGTATTGGCTCATAATAACATGAAGTCCATTGTGCTATTCATATATATAGGCATACAATTTATCATCAGATGGGTCATCAGATTGTTTCCCGTTATATAAATAATATTAATATTTATTACCAATGTACTTACTATGTATTTTTTATTTTTCCAGATAAACGAAATTCAGCGCAACAAAATAGTTGTATAAGCACAAAAGACACAACGAACTGCCCACAAGTATTCTTGTCATTATATCTACCACAAAAATCATGCATATATTTTCACAAAGTACTGTCATATATTCATTCTTCTCACTCTCTATCTGTTGTATTAACTATTTACCAGTACTCCAAGTAATTGTTTACTCTTAGTTTAGTTTCGAATTGACTGTCTTAGAGGTTCGACCTATATAAAATGTGTTCAATGTTCCAATGTTCAAGGTATTCTAATATTTAATCAAATTTTGTTTAACTAAATAAGTAAATAATCAGAGTTATGGGAATAATAAGAAACGAATAAATAAAATACTAACGTGGAACCACAAATAATGATAATGCAAAACTTTTGTACCTTGTCGCAATAATAACTTATTGATAAATATATAAAACATCTGTATATGTATATTACATATTATTTACTGTGACAAAGTACTAAAGCATTTACATATTATTGGTCATGACTCTACATCAAAAACTAGCTTCAAGATATGCTATTTTTCTACTAATTATGTACAGTTTGCAAGATTTCAACAGATATATTCAATACAATGCGACCAATGAGTAGTTATTGTCATCTTAATAATAATTTATTAAATAATAAATATTATTCAATGTAGTATAGACATCATCATGACTACTACCACAGTCATGTATCAATAACAGTAAATATTTATGTACTAACATATATGTTAGTACATAAATGTGATACTGTATAATAATAATACTAAACATATAATATATACACAATTATGAGCTACCTAATTGTAATTACACATAACTTGACATCTTTTAATATATATGATATAATTAAAATTAGTATATATTTTTGTTCTTCATCACTATATTTTATAAAATTAAGTATTTTTGCAATTGTGATATTTTATAATGCTTTAAAAATACATATCTGTTTCACATGTATTAGGCAGACTGTACTAAATAAGGTTGGAACTATATAGATTGTTAAATAAAAAAATTATATGCAAAGACTTATACTTGCCTCGCTAATAAATATGGGATTATTTACACATGTAATATAGATAAAGGTGTTGTTCACAGTATAATATTTTTTTCTATTTTCTATGCTGATACAATTATGCGGTCAAGTCCAACAAGTAGTTTTCCAAATATCTCAAATATTTGTTAAATTATGTCCTATTGCAGTGGGGAACCAAGGTTCGAACCCCTAATGGTGTCCAAAGATTAAAGTCATATCCATCAAGCAGGAGCTTGTTAACCGCACCATAAATAGGGACTTATGGAGTGGATGCATACTCCCGTTTGCATTCGCCCCCATTTTTCGTGTGGGACACAGTAAAATGGAAAAGGCCAGCAGAAGCCGAGTAAAGATGCAGCATTAGAAAAATACGAAAATATTCATGCGCAGAAAGTAACTACTTAGTAATAACCTTAATATAATACCCTAACTTTGTATTAGACTAAACAAAGTCCACTTGCCACTGACTTCTTTTGCCAAACAATATACTTTATTTTTTGGTAGTTTGAGATCAGACGAGCCGTATGCTTTTCTACCACATATAAGGTATAAAAATCACTTGACATGAAACTACCAACAAATTTATGTTTATAGCCGGGTATTTACTACCATTGTATGTAGTACTTTGACCTACTTGACGATGGTTTGGTTATATCGTTAAGAAAAATTTTGTAAATTTTAATAATAGTGATACATTTTGTTTAATGTAGTATTTATTATTATTCATTGTTATTCCTATTCATTTTGTTATATTAGTCACGGCATTATGTTATACAATTGTATGTAAGAAATATAATATATTATTTATTAGATATTATATGAAATGTAATTATTAGGCGCCGGTAGAGGGCGTAGTGAGGTGCACATGGATATTTTGGGAACCCACTATACATAAAATTATCTCCTTTTTGAAGTCTAAAATTTGATCCAACTACATAATACTTATTCCTGCCGGTGCCAATGAATGTAGATAAAAAAATAAACTAAGTATATCATGAATATAAACATTTTTATGAACAAGAATGCTATTTTTGTCCGGTTTATTATGTCGTATGGTCTGATTAGAAGATATATAACTTTTTTCTAAACTATGTTTACACGACCATTATCAAATGGATGATATTTTCAATATTGCAATAAATTGATGTCGATATTATAATCGCAATTTATTTTACTAACCTGTTTAATCCTTGCCATCCATGTAGGATTTTACGTAATAGGTTTCCTAACTGTGGTGCCCCTTTTTGTCTATGGGCTCTCCACGAATGATGTAAATGCAGTCCTCTATTACCACCACAGAAAAATAGATTCTATCTGTAAATCCCACCCTTCTCTATTAAGACACGTAATTAATTAACATGTTACTTTAAAAAAGTACTGAAGAGTTCCAAATATTAATGCTCGTAGAAAACGTAGATATTTTTTTTATACAATCAGCAATTATCTAAGGTCCCGTCTTATGTGAAAACTATAGCCATAATAATATGATATACAAATATTAAATATTATGATACACGTTGCAATTCAGCTGAGCTGTTATTACTTACAATATCTGAGGAAGATTTTGTACTTACTGGAATTTATACTGAAAGTAATAAAAATTGATTCGTTATCAATGTATTTATATACGCAAACAGTGCGTAATTTGAGACATTATAAATGAAAATTTTTACAGAAGAATCATTTACATCAGGAAAATAAAGTATCTTACAGCGCCATCTAGTAGATCATATGTAAACTCACAAGATAAATGTGTCCTCAGTTTAGGCACACAAATATACCCTGTGAGGTGTGCTCTCCGAAGTAAACGTATTGAACGAGAATTTTACCTCAACAATCAACAGGTTTGTGAGTCATAGTTGTTTCGGTTTCTAAAAATATTTCTATCAAGTTGATAACAATCACAGACTTACTAGAGACTTGATCAGTTTGTAGTGATAAATTGAAGGCTATAATTTTAGATATACTGGTACAATATTGTCGTGCCTTATTTTAGCAAACTCCTAGTATGATATATATACATCATAGTGTTTTTTTTAATTGATTTAAATAGTGCCACCTCGCTGACGGCGTCTAATGCGTCTATGCGTTGGTGCTACTAGTGGAAGAAGATAGAATGATAAAGTCAGGTCAGTTAATCCATAGTAGCGATAGTTATGAACTTAGTAGAAATTAACTACGATGATTTCCAATAAGAACCGCGTGGAGGTCGATCTGACAGAGCATTGATAGTAATGGGATTAATAGTCTTTATTCCTAACATCGCTTCCCTCAATATGACTATACTATAGTAGTTGTTATATATGTACGAGTTACGACAAATGTCATAAATTTTTTTATTTTTGATTTTTAATGTGGCTAAACATGCTTAAAGAGCTTTGACACATTAGTATGCTAGTACGATATCGGCTATAGAAGTGTAAACTGTAACGTAATTCAAACGTTATCTACTAATTAGGAGCATTATTCTACTATTCTACACAGTTAGCAATTTGTCACTGAAATTTGGACGTTATGCTTTGCAGTTTAAAATTAATTTTATTCTTGATGGATGATAGATGATTAGTTTATGACGCGAGCCATTGTGTCTACAATTAGTCCTAATGCATCTCTCTTGTTGTAAAATCAATTATGCCTCCTACGATTTAAAGTATACTTTCATATGACAAGTTGGTCGGGGCTTCGCAACGATGCTGCTCTACGGAGTAACACCTGTAGGCGGTACTTGTAACATGTATTAAATGTACTTTTGTAACCAAGAAATTGTTAATACTTACTTATTTATAGTCTTGTTTGAAAAAATAAAACTTATTACTTAAAATTGAGTCCTAATTAGGTACTCTATACCATACTGCACCTAACTTACGAGTAATATCACTCGATTTGGTACACAGTCTAGATCTTGTGAAAGGAAATAAGTTACTTTTTAATGCAAAAAAGGGTTGTAAGGGGAAATAAAAGAATGTATGAAGTATCCTCCTTTTTAGAGCTAGATGCTTGAAACTTATTGTTTAGGCCGTCGATTAAATATAAATAAATATGACGTCTAAAGTTTGTAAAAGTTTTACCCTTTAGGGTGTAAAATACAATAGGGGATGGAAGTGTAAATGGAAATTCGTCATACGTCGATAATCCACGATTTCCCGAGCACATTTAGTTTGTTTCTATTTTTTATTTGCCTTATACGTAACACAAAAAACTATTTCAGGAAGAAAGTCTATAGTGATCATAAAATATACACAACTCACTACCTATATACTGTACAATACAAGCAACACTTACTACCGTTACATATACTGTTTTCAAAATTTCCGGTATTATCACAGATTAAAAAACACTTAAAGAGAGTGTAACGCAAACGGATAATTTCGTACAGCCTTGAATGAATGATTTATAAATTAATGAAACATTCATACATTTTGAAAGAATAAGTGGTGGTCATAGACAATAAGTTGGATAAGATAAATTATTTAAAAAATATAAACGTCATATGACTTGTTCTGTTGTTCAGTGCTTACTGACTGAAGCCAGCTTGAACTTTTATAAGTTTATCCATAGAGAGGGTATGATTAAAAATTTAACTTATCGCAAAAACAAATAATTATAAGTAGTAATTAGTAGTAGTGGTTGCTTGGACGACTGGCGGGAAAAAGTTGCAATGTAACGTTGGTTCGGGCGCGGCGTAGGGCGGCGGTTACGCCCCCGCGATTGCCTGTGAACAGATGACGCGGGCGGGCGGTGGGTGGGCGCTTCTCTTCCGTGTTCTTATAATATTGTATTTAAATTCTTGAACCTTCGGTTTAAATAAATGCTATTAATTATATCAACTTACTTACCTTAAATATTTTTGACAGTATTGAATTTGTAAAAGATAAGGAACGAATATCAGTGTCGTATTTATTTGTTTACATTCATTGGCTTGATTTTGTTATTATTATTTCTATAAACACTGTATTCCGTCAAATGCTTTAACAACAACAGGGTAACTTTTATTCCTTGTTACGTACAAGGACAATAAGTATAAATAAATTTATTTGAATACAATGATGTTGATATCACAAAAAAAAGTATGTATAAACTATAAACTAAGTTTACATCAGTTCAAATATCAGACGTCAGTATTGGCGCCATAATTGACTTGTCGATACTAGCTAATTCCATGGAATTTCAAAATATTCGAAATATTAAATTCAAGTTAAGTTGAAATAATGTACACCTTGCAGTAAGGGGTAATCAGTCCTCATTTAGACATCAGTTACAGATTGATTGTAAATTTGCACTACAGCTCAATTTACATGGATATTTTCCTTCACACACAAAGATTATTTGAGAGACCTCTAGATCTCGATGGGTTAGCCTATTTCAAACATGTAACAAACTACACTTGCAAAATTGTTATTATCATTAGTTATCAAAGACTCTACTATCTTTTTAAAGAAAAATATTTTTTCAAATATCCTCAACGTTATCTCATATCTATCCTTTCTTAAATGTTGTTTTCCATCATATTTGCTGCTCAACTTGTGATGCTGCTACTAGAAATATTTGGTTTACCTCGTAGTAGAAACTTTATTGACCACTAATAGAAATCTCTATATCAATAATTACAAATATCAACTCAATTTCTGCTTGCAAACGAAATTTTTTAAACGGTAGTTTCTATATTTTATAGGGAGTTTACCGTGGAGCATTACCCTATTGAAGGTTGCATGTATAATACGATACAACTCTTACTCAACAAAATATAGACCAATACATGTAGTACCTACCTACATATAAAAAAGTGAATATAATTTTGATTGATTCATCGTGAATTTGCTACGACTGGTTAACTAACCTGATTTCAACTCAACCTGACACGTTCCACAGGTGTTCTAGGGGCGTATACTAATTGGTATAGCAGACAAGTTTTCAATTCCATCAACATCTTTAATAAGCTATTATGTATCTCAATTGTGTTTTGAAATGGTTTATTAATTCTAAGAATTGTAACTTGCCGAAGAAAAAAATTCAATACCCATCACCAGATACCTAGTTATTTAACAAGATACGTTAATTTATGCTATATTGTTATAATCAATAGGTCAAGTTGACGTAGATATTTATTGAGAATATATGTATTGCCAGAGATCTGTCTCCCAAGAATGATACATTTATATAACGCCTGAGCAAATTCAAATCTGTCACTGTCAAAATCGTGATATTAAAATGATGTCCATCTAGTAAATACCTTAGTAAATTAGTTACTTTTAAGAAACCAAGTGCGATAAACTTATTGGTCAATAGATAGATACTTCAAATGTTTACCAGATTCTCGTTTCTGTAATATGTTTTGGGTGATGCATTAATTAGTCTAAGATGCAGTGACTCGTGAGAACTAGGGCGTGTCTGGTTGCGGGGGCGGGTGGTACAGGCGGCCGGTCCGCCCACTGTCACTTCCGCTTCCGTCAGTTCAAGTGCCCTATGGTCTTCCGGTCTTGGTTCATTATGGTTGCTTTTATATAAGCTTTAGGGTTTTAGATCAACATTATATCTGAGGTTTGAAAATTAACGTCTCGTTTTAGAGAAAAAAATCGCATGCTGTTCAAATGTGTTGTTACCTTCTCATATCACACTAATAACAGTGTAACTTGTTATGCAGGACAATTTAGGTCCACAGTGCTAACTAGTTTTAAACTAAGTAGAGGTTGTACTATGATTACTAGAAAACTGGTAGAAATAACATTAATATATTTCTTTTGTATGTAAACATGTACACAATATACATAGAAAACCCCCAGATCCCTCACGAATACAAATTTTTGTATGAGGAACGAAATCCGCGACCATGCGAAGTACCTAATGCTGTGTGTTAAACTGCTAGACTACCGTGGCACCAAATTACACTAAGCCGCTTGGTACGGAGCTTCATTTCGTATCGTATCGTATCGTATCTTCATTATTTTGGTATGTGCAGTGTGTATTGTCCCGGTAGTCGGATTAAAAGAAGGGTCTGACGTGTATCCTTAAATTGTAACCATACCGACATCAGTACAGCAGTCACCCTTCTTTTGATCCGAGTACGGGAACAAATGTTGTTGTGTATATACACGATATCATACTTATGTGTGTTCAGTAAGAACGCAGTGGGTCAATAATATGGATTTTCCGTTGCAATTTTCAACATGGTTTATTATTTAGTTAGCTACAAACACTCAGTTTTATATTAATAGGCAGATGTTATTGCAATATTGCAATTAGAAAACATTTATTGTCATAAGCGTCTGCTTTTTTAATATAGATAATCAGGTTTAAACATGATATAATTTTACAGTAAAGAAAGATATATCTCTCGACGTTTCGACTAGGTCACAATAGCCATAGTAAATATTTTCTTCATAGTAAATTTAATCGCGTTAAGACCCGATTAACTTTGTAAATAATGTTTACTGAACGTGATTGTTTAAAATAATGTATCAGATTACTTCATCTTCTTTCTTACTATGACATTTTAAAGTTGATTTGAGGATTAGATTGTTAGATACTTAAGATGTTATCATGAATAAGGGAAGTATGTCTTCCCTTCTTCATGATAACAACTTAAGTAGGTAACAATCTAATCCTCAAGCTAGCTAATTGAATAATTTGGAGAACAATTATACGTATGATTTATTTTAGTAGACAAATTAGGATAAGTTACTACTTATCCTAATTTGTCTAGGTACTCCTCCTTAGTAGAATAGCTCTCTAGCTCTAGACATAGGTACAGTTACAAAAGAATATTGAAATTCGAGACAAAAAAAAGCGTTTTAGAAAGTTTAACAATAAAGTTCCAGGGATATAAAAATCTACTTAGGATATCTTACTAAGACGGTAGAAACGGTAAAGGTTAACGAAAGTAGAATATGCAACTAAGCCGGATTTCGTAACCCCTTTCATTACAATTGTACTTGTCGATATAAAGTTTCCCTTCAAACTTTTCTATAGTACAATAGCAGTTGGCCTTTATATATTTTTTAATCGTTTTTTCTGAATAGATTTATTAGAGTGTAAATTGAATCTTAGCTGGTTTAATTTTAATTCATTTTCTTTGGCTCTAAGTATTCTACAATTTATTGGTAAAATCAATACGTAACCTGGATGAAATAATTTGTGAAACAAGTTAATTTATTTTAAATGAGCTGCTCAATAATCAATATTATTTTATATTATTCTAAGTTCTAGTTGTAGCTATAACTTATCTACCTCTACCTATCACATATCAACTTGATTTACGTCGTGATTAATATCTTACAATTATTATTGTTAACAAAGTATACAATATTAGATAACCTTAGATAATCTATGTATAAATAACAAGTAGGTAATGTGGATGTTTTATATGTTCATTTAACAAGATACTTTCATATTTTAGTATTGATATCAATTCCGTTACTAATAAAAAAAAAACCAGAAGTATTCAAATAATAAATTAAAGTCACTGTTCGAAGATGACTTCATCAATATTGAATACGCAAACAATAACGCATCACTCGACTACCGCATGCCACGCCACACCGTGCCACCGCGCCACTAGGTACACCCATAATAGACTTATTCATAGCTAACAATATCCTAAATAATCAATGGAGAAAACATTTGAACGTTATGAACGAGCGCACTAAGATTCAAATTAGTAAAGTTAAAAATGAGAACATAGTTTGCTTGAGAGTTCGCGTTTAGCAACAATAAGATATTGAATATTCAATTCTAATTGCATTGATTTAAGGTTCAAAAACGTTTTACATTTAACTCAGATAATTAAGCCCGGGACACACGCTCTCTCGGGGCGGCTGCTCATTCGTGCATAATGGACTCAGAACGATGCCTGATGCTTGACAAAACGTGGTTTAACTTTCACTCTCATTTTCAACCAGTCTCTACGTATATATAACGTAACTACAAAGACTGCCGGAATTAGTAGTGAAAATTATAATTAAATAAAGAGTTACATTTGCCTATTTAAAGTACAAATAGATATTTTAAGATGCTATAAAATGTAAAAAAAAATTTTTTGGCGTCAATATTAAAATATGAATTTAGTACCTATCTATTTAGGCAAGAGACAAGATGAGTACTACGATTCCCCCTAACTCGTTCTACCCTAAAGCATACCAGGCAAAGAGACAGATAGAAAGTCCTATGATTGTTTCCCCATTATTGTAAAAAAAAATATTACACACATGTGCATTTTTACTTGTCTAATTTATTTTTTATATATTAATATTTTCGTAAAAGTTAAAGCAAATTAGCAATGATAAGAACTACTTATACATAATCATGTCGTAACGATATGGAGTCATGTGAACAAAGAAGTGGTAATGCAATGCTGTGCCCTTATCATTTGTTTACAGACCACGTTTCGTTTCGTTAGTTGATGCGGCAAGCGCGACAAGCAACACGACATGTGTGCATTTTTTGCCCGCCCAAGGAGGCCGCGGGCGCGAGGTTATACACCCATTATTACGTCCTTCCTACTTTCAATTATTATTATCGGGCGGCGGCGCCGCACCCGCGACGGGGAGGAGGAGAGAGGCACAGCTGCTGCCTACCAATAATCAAGACCTGTCTCTACAAGAGCGAGACAGAGATAATAGTAAACAAATTATAAGAGCCAAATAAATATAATTTAATTCAACTTAACTCACATAGAACTAAGGAATAACATTCTTTACTAATAAAGGATTAATTCCTCTGAGTTAATTTTTGTCTACTAACGTAAAAACTCAATAAAACAGAATAAAATTGGAATAAATCCGACCGCGATAGGAGGCGGATCTACGAAAATTGCCGAGCGTACGTTCGTTGTCTTCCGTCAGTACGCTCGCCGCAGTTTGGCGGCCGGTCGTGAGAATGGTGCGCTCTGTACGTGAACAAAGAAAAATAATTGCTTGCAAGTGTAAAGTAGATGATGTCGTCTGAGCACACAAAAGTGCAGGTGGAATACGTTAACGAGGACAAAATCACTAAGGTAAAAAGTGTAAAGGATACAGTGTTAATGTGTAACAGATTGGACGCCAGCGGGCAGTGGTCTCGTGTCGGTCGGCGCAGGGGGAGGGCGGGGCGAGTGCGGCCCCAGCCGTGTGGGGCCCGTCAGGCCACACGCAGGAGGTTGTGACCGTATCGCAAGTAACTCCCTTGCCGAAATAGCATCAGCGTCCTCCTCTAGTTGTGCTACCACCCATTTGAAGTTTAATGAATCCATATAAATAACTTTCACTCTACTATATTCGTAGAAGCTATTAGTTAAGAACCCATCGTTAACAATACTTGATGGACGCCATTTTAAGTCAAAGCATTCAATTTCATTGGCATGCAATCATCGTACTTCATAATTTATTTACTGATTAATCGCTGAAAATTATTAGCCAGAGTACATATGTAATAACTTACTCGTAATAAGCGTGTCCTATTTATTGGAGATAGCCCAGTAGTATGCAACTTCATCCAAATCACAGTGACGTGATTTGAGGTGGGTGGATCAAAGGGCGGCAGCGACCTTGCGTGCGACGACTCCCGGCACTTGTTAGGAAAAGGCGTGTCGACTCCCAACAACTATGCTGTATAAATTGGAAATAATTGTAAACTTATATCTTCACTATACTTGCCACTTGCATTTCATAACCCCTCAGAACTCCATGCCAAACAAAATGTTCAATAATATTTGAAACCGAAAACCATGAAATCACTAACACTCCACACAATGTCAATTTCATGTAGTAAATACCTCACAACTAAAAAAATATTGACATCAACTTGTTGCATCAACATTTTTAACATACATTTGATCGGCTTCTAATTTTGATAATAATGAGTGAATGAATGATTTGTCTATGATTTTATTAAGGAATGCGATTGGTTAAAAAATTCAACAGTAAAGAACCAATTAAAATATTTCCTATTATTTAAAATTACATGAAAATATTTTCATAACCAAAAAGGAATTTAAGGAATATAATTATTACAGTTAATGTACCTAATATGGTTGCTGCAAATTACAGAGAAGTATTTGTGTTTATTATAAAACAATATGTTTTGTACTGTGATATTATTAAATTTTAAAAAATATTTTTTACGGTAACTATAAAAATCAGATCACCAAATTAAATGGAAACTTACTCTATTTCATTATTCTTATTTTTATAATCTAAATAAATTGACTAAATTATATTTAAACTGTCTCGTGACTAGTTGTTCTTGTATCCTTGCAAATATAAAGTTGTGATTTAAATTTTCACATCAACAGCCAAAAGCTAGGGACGTCAGTCTGAAAATTAGTACATGAATTCTATATTTAATTCCTACACTAAATAATCTATATTGTAATTTCATGAACTTATCTAATTTCATACATTTCGTACATCAATGTCATTTATAAAAAAATACTGTGATTCCTTATATCACAGAATATCATTATATTCTTTAGCTTTACTTATGTATAGGGAAAGACTATAAATGAATTCAAATGTATTAAATTCCATAAATTAATAATTACAATAACCATCATACCATGGTTGGACACTGGCATCTCTCTATTAGATAGTATTATTTAATTTTATGTTTTCACATTTTTTTGTGCTCATCTGTTTTCTTTAGGTATCCTAATTAACCATACATCATGATAAAGGTATAAATATAATAATTGCAAAGAGATTAATATGCTACTATACTACATGAAGTTATTAATACAGTTACACAAACTCAGTTCGAGTATTTAGTTTATTATAATGTATGTTAATAATGATATCCAAACTGTTAACATTCTAGATAATGATAATGAACTGTGAGATGTGAAAATTTATAAGTGTACAGGAGAAGTATAGACGAGATATATCCTTTTTTATATATATTAAACTGGCTGTTCCTGCGACTTCATCCGCATGGAATTTAACGTTATTTTTTCTAAAATAAATTGTGGCCTATGTTACTCGTTATTACATAAGCTACCTGCCGAAAAAGACCAAGAGTTAAAATCGGTCCAGCCATTTCAGAGATAAGCCGGAACAAACAGCCCGACAGACAGACGGACAAACATTGTAAAAAGTGTTTTGTTGGTATATGTACCATATTTATATTCATATTCATATTCATGTAGTAAAAAACGGTTATTCCAATATTACAAACAGACACTCCAGTTTTATTTATATGTATAGATATACATTGTACAAATTGTAAATTTGTTATTTACTACAACATAATTTACAATTTGTATAATGTAAGATATGATATTTAGATGTATGAAATTTGTATAAATATATGAAATTAACAGAATAAGCAATTACATGTTGTATGACATTCTTGATGTTCTCACAATTGCACATAGCAAACTACCAAAATTTTCCTAAAGGTCTGCTTGTGATAAAATTAATAATGAATATTGTGCTTGGGTGTGCAGGAGGGCAGCGGCACCCAGTCGCCCCTAGCTCTATTGGCAGCAACGTGCAGCAGACTCGGTGCTGCCAACATGGGGCCCGAACAGCAACAGGACAAGGAGCAACAACATTACAGTGAGTCTAATATTGTAATATATGCTATTACACTCAATCTAAACTAATATTATAAAGAGAAAGTAATTTTTTTTTATTTATTATCTCAAAACCTATTCATAATTAGAATTGATGATTGATATATAGAATTACACTACAATATCATATTATGAGACCAGATTTTTCTAAGAATATTTTAATGATTACCTGAAAATGTCGGATTGAGAAGTTGATTGATACCTGTGTACTATGGGTCTGGCATTGTACAAGAGCAGAGTACATAATTATGAAACAATTTAAAATGTATGTAAGGTATACATTAAAGATTAATAATAAAAAATACATTTTCAGGCCCACAACAACAACAGGCAGCACAACAGCAACAGCAACAACAGCAGCAACAACAACAACAACATCAGCAGCAAGTGCAACAAGCACAACAGCAACAAGCCCAGCAACTGATACAACAACAAGTACAAGGTAGAAAATTTATAGTTTAGTTTGTCAATTGACATCAACTTTGTACCAAGGATATCTTCATGGAAATTTAATTTTATCTGTTGTAGCTGGCGAGTAACTTACTATGTAAACTGTTCTTCAGTTGGAGTACCTTCCAAAAAACTACATTATGCCATTTAAATTACAGAAATTATAACGGACATTTACAATAGTGAATAACTATGGTTGGATTTTAAATAGTCTCATTTTGATTTACTCATTACAATTTACATTATCCTATGGCAGTGAAATTATTGGATAACATCTTAGTCCTTTGGAATGGGAATGCCTGGCTACCAAATGTGTCTCATGGTGATGATAATGATAAGATTGCCACTTAGCATCTGGTGGATCCTTAGCATCTGTACCTTTCTACTTGAAAAAATATGACTCTGTTCTATCTTGTCTGAAACAAAAGTATTTTTATGTTTTTAGGCGACGCTGCAACAATCGCGGCGATACAGCAACAGTATCTACAGCAACAACAGCAACAGCCGCAGCTGAGGGTGATCAGTTCAGCTGTTGTTCAACAATTACGTGCCCAGGGGCTTTCAGTAAGTAAATTGAATCTTATTTTTTTATGTATAAGCCCTGGTTTTTATATAACAATATGCAAGCATTTGTAATGAAGAAGAGCACACACAGTATTATCTTAATTGTTCTATTCATTCATTATATCAGATATGCATTTGAAGGGAAAATGTACAAGAGAATTTTTCAACAATTTCCTAGTACATATGTCATATTAAAAATATTTAAATTGTGAAAATTAAGTGTTGATAGGATAATTAGTGAAGAACATAGTTCTCCAGATCTAAAGCACCTGACAATATTGTCATCTAATAAAACCCAATAATTTATAATTATTTTTTCAGGGCAATGAATTATCAGCGGCTATTGTCAATGCAGCTAATACAGTTCCAAATGGCATACAAGTACAACCACAGGTATGGTATAATTTTTTTTGTAGTTTTATTTAATGCAAACAACATTTACATAATGTTTTTTGCTTTATGTATATGATGATATGAAAACCAAACAGTAATTACCCATCATATTTCTGCTCAAATATGCATATGTGAAAATAATCCGATTTTTTTAATTGTATATTTTATTTTTATTTTCTAATTTCATTTCTTAATTTTTCCGACTGCATGAAGTTTGTGAGGTCTGCTATTGTGCTTATAAACATGTACACTATAGATAGACAGACAGGTACATAACAGACAGTTGTCTTTGCTGTATTTCTATATTTACCTCTCTTGCAGGTGTTATCAATGCAGCAACTACAATCGTTGCTAGGCGGCGGGGTGGTGGCTGGCGAAGGCACCACATACCAGAATACACCGCAGCAGTTGCTACAAATACACCCACAGTTGTTACAGGTATTTATTTGTTATTTGAAATACATAGTTTATTTAAAATGTGAAAAAAAAGCCTTTACTTATGCAGAATAATTGTGCTTACAACTATAGTAATGTAATGTAACTGCACTTTTAAGGGACAGTTGACAGAACTATAGCCTAAACAAGTCTATTACTTTATTAGTCAATATACATATATAAATTAATACTTAATATCTACATTATATAATAACATAATATTCAAATACATAATTTATCATCATCATCAACATTCTTTTCTTTAATTAAGGCGGGCTTGCATATTCGAAAAAAACCTTTTATATAAATCTATGCAAACATTATTGAAAAATAATAGTTATACAGATTAATATAAAAAAATATTTTGTTCCCAGTAAATGGAACAAACTATACAATATGGTAAATTCCATGAAAATGTGCAATCTACAATATACCCAATTTGATAGCCACTAGTGTACAACAAGAAACATCTATATAACTTACTTTACTTACAAATTGAAACAATAACTGGCCGGCTAACTGTTCAAAATTAAGATACTATGTACCTCACTATTTAATACGATATTGAGGATTCGAAAATGGAATAAATATTAAAAATTGAATTTGGAATACACTTCAGCAACAGGCGGGTGGGGTGTACGGCGGCTGTCTCGTGGGTGGTGTGGGCGGCGTGGGTGGCGTGAGCAGCGTGGGCGGCGTGGGCGGCGTGCCCATGCAGGCCGTCACTGTCGACGGACAGGATGCGCTCTTCATCCCCGCTCAGCACGCGCAGGTACTGTACACATATAAAAAAAGAGAAGGAATGTATGCTAGGGCACATAGTAGAAGTGAAACTTCAACAAACACACAAGCTCAACAATATATTATCTACCCTTCGTGTAATGATAACGTTTTTCCGTGACCGAAAAATCGTTATCATCATACGAAGAGGTAAATTTTTCGGTCACAAACGCCTATATAGAAATTATTCAGTAGCACGTAGTATGCGGAGGTGTAAGTATAGGCAAGTTCTAAAGATATTAGATTTATTTTATTTGTCAATAGGGTTGATACACCGGCAGAAGCCCTATAAAGGTTAAATGGATAATGCTGGCTGGATAGCTGTGGAAGATGATGGGATGAGGATGACGTCAGGTCAGATAGCAAATCATCATAGCTGATTCTCAAGAAATTCTGATCTGATGTGGCATATTGCTAGCAATGGATGGGCTCATTACTAGCAATGTGTCATGTATTCTACTTTTTTAAATCCTTATCCTCCACGAAGTTAGGAAGTTTTTGAAAATTGCAACTTAACGCGAATAAAGCATGAGCAACTAATGCTAAGCTTAACTAAGCTAATAAAGTGTACCTGTATGTTATTATTCTCAGAATTTCTCTGGAATGGGACAAGTGAGTCTCGTGAACGGACAGCTAGTACGAACACCTGTGTTACCTGCTGGGTTCCTACAAAATGTTATGCATTTACCTACGGGTAAGTTCTCTTTAATTATATAAATAACAATTGAGATTTTCATTAAATATCTTAATTAGTGACACATCATAGAAGAGATGGTTAAGTTGTTTACATGTAATTATACATATAAATTAATAACTTTTTGTATTTGACTAATAAGCGAGTATCTTTAATAATTATTGTTATCATAAGTACAACTTAATATCAACTCTATATGTAATTATACAAAGCATTTTTTTACATTTAAGGCGCTGCGCTTTTATAAAATATAAAAAATAAGAATCACATCGTCTCGGCTTCATTATAAATTTTACTTCATTACAATAATGAAATTCTTCCAAATAAGTAATAGTAATAACTTTAATTGAAGTTTGTACTATAAACTTATTATTATTTTACGTATTAATACTTGTTAATTTACAGTCTCCATTATTCACACCAGGAAGGCATTAAGTGTATATTTAGCTCGAGTAACTGACTTATAATAATTTTTACATTGTTTGTGTCATTATTAAACGATTATCAGAGAATTTTTACATAATTAATTTCATCTTACCTATCAACCCTAAAAAGAACCATAAAATTCAGTTATTTTGCAACTAACGGTATATCATTGCAAAATAACTTATATAATAAAATAATTTATATAAAATTAAAAAATAAACACAAAAATTGTTAAGACATAGTGATTCTTATTCAAAACGGTCTCTTAAAAAACAAAAAGTATATAGTTATATTTAAAATCTTAGTTGGCATCTATCCTGTTTACACTTCAAGGAATACATAGCTTTGGGAATGCTTTGGTTTACTTTTGTTAATCATCGGCTTATGGATTACAATTTATTTTTCAACTCATATTCATTAAAAATATTGCATGTCTTTTATATGTTAATTTTTAAAACTTGTCACTTTTTTGTTTACTGCCACAATATATTGATGCGTTTATCACACAGTATTATTACCGTTTTTAAGGCTTTAATCTCTTACCTGTTTGAAACTCACTTGAAATTATTTATTTATATATATATATATATATATATATAAACACCTCTTTGGGCACTTTGTTGATCACGCCACAACCTACACACTTGCTGATTCCACCTTTTGCACTGAATAACTTGACTCCTATCGCGTATACCTCAGGCGGTATGGCAACGTCGCATTCTATTTTGCGATGTGGCCATATATATTCGTCGATAGTACGATATACTCGACACATTTTTTACTAATAATTCGTGCATGACTGGCTCCGAACGGCTAAATTTTTGGTATACACAAAGACTTTTTGGCTCTGAATATATTTCAAAAATCAATTAATTATGTTGATCACTTTATATACTCGTCCTTACTGCGATACTTATTTTCATCCGAATATATATAGATACCGTAACGGTCTATCAATTATGAATTTATTCATTTACTAATCTAGATATTTTATATTCGCAATGCTCCATACATAGTAACTCCACCGTTGCAGGGGGGAGCACCGTACACCGCACCCCGCGCACACAAACAAATTAGATATTTTTTGAATACACAAAGACTTTTTGGCTCTGTATATATATTTCAAAAATCAATTAATTGTGTTGATCACTTTATATACTGGTCCTTACTGCGATACTTATTTTAATCCGAATATATATAGATACCGTAACGGTCTATCAATTATGAATTTACTAATCTAGATATTTTATATTCGCAATGCTCCATACATGCAAGCTCCAGCAACGGTGGAGGCAGGGGGGAGCACCGTACACCGCACCCCGCGCACACAAACAAATTAGAATAAATTAAATTCATAAGATTATTTATATATTTCGACTGCCTCGGTGGTCACACCGCTTTACATCCGATGGTCGCGGGTTCGATTTCTCGCACGGTGCAAACAATTGTACTCATCGGTCATCGATTGTTTTCATCGGTCTGGGTGTTTTATATGTATATTATATATGTATTTACAAAATAAAAATATCTATTTATATCAGTTCAGTATCAGTCTGTGTTAATTGTCCAGGGCTATTTATTATATTTTTTATAAACAGTTATCTTTTTCCATCGCACCGCTCGCTATCGACAGTGAATTCATAGAAATGTCACTCTAAAAACAAAAATAGTTTTGTGTTTTGTATTTCAAATACTAAATGCAAAATAGGTATTTTCAAAATACTTTTTCAAAATACTTTTTCAAAATAAAGTACCTTTTGAATTTTTGTCCAAACCTCAGATATTTTAGGTATATCAATCATTACATAGTGTAGTATAAAACAAAGTCGCTGTCGCATCTAACAGTACACAAATAAAGAAAGAAGACTTTTTGGCTCTGATACCGTAACGGTCTATCAATTATGAACTAAATAGTTGAATAAAACTGAATAAGCAGTTGCTCCACTCTATAGGTACTGCGTCGTCGTCGTATGCTGTTCATTTTTTCACTCGTTTTGGCGCCAAGAGAGGGTCACATAGTCGTGGTCAAGTTAAGAACTTATAATTTAATTTTGATAACAATAGATACAAGTAAAAAGTAGGTATTATATTAATGTACGTAAGTACTGTACTTAAAAATATTTATTCTTTATTGTACATTTGAAAAACTTAACACTTAAGGACTTGTACATATACACGTACATACTGCCATTTTCTCTTAAAGACATCCAGAGAAGCACTATTTATCAAATACGCGGGGTGCACCGACCTTTGACCTTATAACAGCTGATTCGCGCGTAACGAATTACATTGCTATTTTTTAGTATTTTATAGTGGATATTTCACTATAAAATATTATTATTTCTTTAGATTATGACGTAATAACATAGTTTACATGATTTTAAGGGAAACATACGATAAAAAAAATTCCCGTAAAATGTAAAAGATAAAAAATGGTTATTGTTGGTTATCCTTAAGAGATAGACATATACCATCACGGACTTTTTTGTTGACCATATATTGATACATCTCAAAGCACTAGACAATACGCATTTTCATTAAACAGTAGTGTATTTTTATTTATTTATTTAACTTTAATGCACAAAAAATTTGTACATGTGGTGGACGTAATATCTTGCCGCGTTAATTACCAGGCAACTATGAGTGCAAATAAGAAATGTCAAAAAAAGATATATAAATACAAAGCAAAAATATAAATTTTTATAAAAAAATAACAATATACATACATAAATATATATGTAAATATAACCCATAAATGTATAAATATTCTATATAAATAAATACATAATGATCCGATAATCAAATTATAAGTACAGTCTCAAATTGAAAGTAAGAAAAACAGAAAATATAGACAGAACTATAGGGATATATCAGAAAGATGTGAAAAAAGGAGAAGGACAGTAAAAAAGTTAGAAATTTAAATAATGTTCCCGCAATTTCTGTTTAAATGAATTTATTACATTATTATATATATTAGGCATACGACTAGCCTTGTGACTGTTACTTTTTTTTTAATCTATACATCTATACATGTAAATAAAATTGGAGTGTCTGTAATATTGAAATAACCGTTTTTTACTACTTGCATATGAATATAAATACGGTATATTTTACAAGTTTTGTCTGTCTGTCTGTCTGTTTGTTCCGGCTAATCTCTGAAATAGCTGGACCGATTTTGACGGGACTTTTTTTGCCAAGTAGCTGATGTAATAAGGAGTAACTTACGCTACTATTATTTTAGAAAAATAAAATAAAATTTCACGCGGACGAAGTCGCTGGGGCCAACTAGTCTATAGATATACCGAGATTTAATGTTTAAGTTGCTATTATGTTGTTGACAAAATTTTACTGTAATGATACTATTACGTTATCCTACACAATTTGCATTATTTTGGATGAAAAAATAAATAAATAAATAATAATCTATACATATAAATAAAATTGGAGTGTCTGTTTGTAATATTGAAATAACCGTTTTTTACTACATGCATATGAATATATATAAGGTACATATACCAAAATAACAATTTTTATAATTTTTGTCTGTCTGTCTGTCGGTCTGTTTGTTCCGGTTAATCTCTGAAATGGCTGGACCGATTTTGACGGTACTTTTTTTTGGCAGGTAGCTGATTTATAAGGAGTAACTTAGGCTACTTTTATTTTAGAAAAATAAAGTTAAATTCCACGCGGACGAAGTCGCGGGAACAGCTTGTTTTTAATAAAAACGGTTTATTTGATAGAAAAAACATCTTTTTTGTGGTACTTGAGAATGTTGAAGCCTGTTGTTTGTAATATTGAAATAACCGTTTTTTACTACTTGCATATGAATATAAATACGGTACATACACCAAAATAACATATTTTACAATTTTTGTCTGTCTGTCTGTTTGTTCCGGCTAATCTCTGAAATGGCTGGACCGATTTTGACGGGACTTTTTTTGGCAGGTAGCTGATGTAACAAGGAGTAACTTAGGCTACTTTTATTTTAGAAAAATAAAGTTAAAAACCATGTGGACGAAGTCGCGGGAACAGCTAGTGTATAATATATTAGAGATACCTACGTGTTTTTTTATTGATGATTAGCTGTACACGGGATTTCGTCCGTGTGGAATTTCACTTTATTTTTCTAAAATATAAGAAGTTAAATTGTCGGTAAGTTAAGTTGTCGGTAGTCTAGCGATTTATCTAGCACACCGCTTTGATTCCTGCTTGGTGGTCGAGGGTTCGATTCCTCGCACGCTGCAAACATTTGTATTCATGAGTATGATTGTTTGTAACGGTCTGGGTGTTTTCTATGTATAGATAATATATATGTATTTACGAAAAAAAAATCTTTGTATTTATATCAGTTGTCTAGTACCCATAACATAATCTTCAGCTAGGTTAACTTGGGTCTAGATGAAGCTGTGTGAATTGTCCTGAGATTACTATTATTACTATAATAAATCTTTTCAAATCAGCCGATGTTTATTTTTGCCATAATACGTGCTGTTACCATGTGATAATATTACGTACGTACTTATTACTGTTTTAAATGTGATGCGTTCATTATTTACATTTCCTTTGAATTAAAGACAAATGTATATATATATATATATATATACACTTGCTCACTTAGTTGATCCAGCCACGATCCGTAGATATTGCTGATTCCACTATCTCTCTCTTTCTACCACTATAACGGTAGTCTCGGAACGGCAACATGTTGCCGTTCCGCGTTCTACCACTATCTTTGTATTCTAATATGCGATGTTGCCGTTCCGACCGAGACCATGCGTTGTTGCCAAATGTATTCGTCGATAGTAGTAGATACCTATACTCGATATATATTTTTTCAACAATTTCCTGCAATAGTGAATCCGTATCGGCAATTTTTTTTAAATGCACAAAGATTTTTTGGCTCTGAATATATTTAAAAATCATTTACTTGTGTGTTGATGAATTTATATACTAGTACATGAAGTACCTAATACTTGTTTTGATTTGAATAGGTAGCGATATTATGAATTTATTATACGTAATCTAAAAATTTTGACGAAATAAAAGTAATTAGTTATCTGTTAACCTTGACTTCATGCTGGCACCAGTATTATCAGATGATGAACATACTCTTCGAAAACTTACAGCAGAAATATCGTGTTTGGACTCATTAGATAGGTCTCGATGAATAGAGTTTTAAAAACTTAAAATAAATAGTAAATTAGAAATAACGTATAAAAACACTCTACGTAAAATTCAACCACTTTATAACTTAATAATAATAATTAGGAAAAGAGCAAAGCTATAAATGCATGAAAGTAATTGATGCCTTCCACACAATATTTTCAGTATTAAACAACTCTGTTTGTTCAGTAAAAGTGTAAATACACTGGTAACCTTTAATCCTATTTTATATGCAAACATTACATATGCAAACCCTAAAGTTTTATTTCAGAATGGCCAGTAGTTTTGAAGAAATAAGTCTTTGAAATTGTATGTAACTTATATATATACTAGTTTTTTCAATAACAAGCAACACCAATATGGCCTAGTTAGTAGTGTACCTGTGTACCAATACCACATTACCACACAGACACTCCGAGTTCGAATTTCTTTCCATCCGTTTACTTTTATTATTTATTTTTTTGTTTTTTTTTTTAATTTAATATTTTAATAATCAATTTAATTTATACGACTATTAATTTATAATAAAAACGTAGTTAAGCATTAAATTAATTTTACTAGTTTGTACCTGTGTACCAACTTACCACACAGCCATCCCGGGTTCGATTCCTATTGGCTTTTTTTTGTTTTTTTTTTAAAGTAATATTTAAAATTAACTATTTTAATAATTAAATGAATTTAATCGATAAAAACGTCGTTAAGTATTAAATTAATTTTAAGAGATATTAACTATTATATTATGCATAAAAAATATTTTGTGATAATAAAGAAAATACATTTAAAATGTTTTACTTGTTGTGTTAATTATTTATAAGATCTTACTATAATTGTTAGCTGCTTTACAATTTAGAAAGTATAATAGGTAATGTAAATTAAAATTAATGTAATACTTAACAACGTTTTGTTCGATTAAATTCATTTCATTATTAAAATAGTTAATTTAAAATATAAAATAAAGACAAAACAAAAAAAAAATAACAAAAAAAAAATCGGTGGCGGGAATCGAACCTTGAGCGTCCGTTTGGTAAGTTGATTTGAAATTCAAAGGCTTATTTCTTCGAAATTACTGGTCATTTTGAAATCGGATTGATATCGGATACTACTACTACACGGAGTTTCGTCAAAATAAAATATCTAGGTATATAATAAATTCATAATTAATATATAATACATTATCAAAAAGTACTATGAAATAAGAACGAGTATATAAATTGATTAACAAAAGTAATTGATTTTTGAAATATATTCAGAGCCAAAAAGTCTTCCATTTTTTATTTATGTACTTGTTAGATGCGACAGCGACTTTGTTTTATACTATACTATACTATGTAATGATTGATATACCTAAAATAAATAAAATATCTGAGGTTTGGACAAAAACTCAAAAGGTAATTTATTCTGTAAAAGTATTTTGAAAATACTTATTTTGCTTTTAGTGTTATAGTACTATAAGTGTTATATTTTAAGTAACAATGTTTAATTATAATTAATACTACTGCACCAACACTCATCGTGCAAAAAATTTTGCTGTTTCATTATTTTTTAGTTCAATTAGTGGTCTACCTAAGTCCTGGGAATGGGGGAGAGTCATTGACTCCCAAGACCTCCATGACGCTCCCCCCTAGATCCGCTGTTAATCATTCGCTCAGTACGTTGTTACAAAAGGAAAAATTCCCGTCCAAAAAATAACAAGTATTATTTTGATCAGTCACGTTACTCCAGACTGATTTCATAAATATTTAGATAGATAGACTATTATCTTTTATATTATTAAGTTACTGTAGCCATTTTAGCCCAAACGTGCCAAAACTTGGCAAATGCTGCACTTTTTTGAATTTCAAGAAGTGGTCGTATGCCAAAATATATTGATAAAATCGTGTATAAATCACACAATTATTATTATTACCCGTCGTGACAGTTGTGGCTCAAAACGGATCAACATTTATATATGGTCTGGCATTAGATCAACAAAAGGCCTCCGTCAACAAGTTGGATCAACAAAAAACTACCTATACGGCACGTCTGAGCCACAAAGTGCCCAAGGGGATATTTATATATATATATATATTATATATATATATATATATATATATATATATATATATATATATATATATCATTAGCAGTTTATTAATTGAAATTGAATTAAATAGAAATTACTAAACTGACTAATTCATTAAAAAACAACCTTTCATGGTCTCATTACTGATTTATTTTGTTACTCAACTTCTTGCTATTTAGCAGTTTATATTCACACAAAATATGTAATAATGGACAACATTTATTTAAAATAGCAACCCGGAAGTTTCATTCTCTTTCTTCTTGTAATGAGGCTGCTTTTCGAATGACCGCTAGAATAAAAAAAATGTATACGACTATTCAAAAGTACTTATATTAAGTTTATTTGAAAATTATATATTTTTTATACTATTCATCTAGTTTTTTTTATTTATCTTTCTGTGCAGGGTAGGGATGATAATAAAAATGTGTTCTGCACAAGAGGCCGAAGGGCCCTATGTTAATAAATAATTTTGAGTTTGAGTTTATAATCTGTATCATGCGTGCCAGCACTATATTTATGGTATTATAATATATAAAATGCAAAAACGATCTTGATATACTGTGTGATTACTCTCACATCATATCATTGCATGTCTTACTGGCTTCTAACTACTATTTTCATACTAATCTGTGTTTTTCCGCTCCTCGCCCGGTCCCATAACAGAACAGCAGGCAACCGTCACCATCCCCGGCACTAACCTATCCATTCCTCTAAGCGCTTTGACCGGGAACCAGCCCATGATCACAATCCCGGGATCCAATATCACGATTCCAGCGGGAATCCAAATACCGACAAGTCAGGCGATATCGATCCCTAGCTCGGCAGGCGTTCAGATGCCTGTGGCGAGCGTGGCGACTGTGGCCAACGCCGGCGTCCAGTTGGCGAATGGGGGGGAAGTGAAGAACGGGGGGAAATCGAAGGAAATCAAGCAACCGACCAGCCCCGGACAAGGTTGGTGTCAGGCTCACTCTCGTGTGTGAAGAGAACTCTCCGTGTCTTTACATATCTAAATCGTATTTGTACTTTATTAGTACAAATACGACCTCCGACCGCGAGTAACTTCAGTTTTACGTAAACTGAAGTTTATAATTTAGTTTATATAAAATTAACCAAGAACAAATACAAATAATACAAAGAAATTGTTACCCAAATGAAAAGTTCAGATATGTTTTGGCTTCAACTGCTATTAATGTTACTTGTATTGGAAATTGTAAAAGATGTTCGGTAATTTTCGTGTAATATTCAGTTAAACGCGAAAACATAGCATTACATGTCTAAAACAAATATTTTGGTTTTGTATCATCGACATACACATTTTTTTTTATATATAAAAACTACTAGTAAATATATTTTATACTTGATTCTGAATAAACTATTTCGTTTATATATTAAATTAATACATTACCCACCAAGAGACCTTACGCAGCTGGTATTTATATTACATTTTTTCTCTGTGGTCAGTTCCCGAAATATCATTTAGGTTAAATAAGTAGACTAGGGAATCCTTTATTCTAAGTTATTATATTTTTTTCAATAAGTTTTCTTCACACACTCATCCTATGACTTTTTCCCCAGCTTTGTTGTATTAATTTTCTCTGCTTGGTGTACCTAATACTGTCATACGGTCACAGTCATATATCATTATAGCAATTAAGAGGCACATTACATTGGTTTGCTTGTTTATCACAACGGTCACAATGACATGCCTTTCACTTTTTAATTAATTTCTAGCACATTCTATGTTTCTTTGCAGCTATTTCATTTCTGTACATACAATATCCTTGGTTGATAGCAATTCGCGGTGCCTACCAATTTATATTTTTAGTGTTTCTCAAAAAGTGGCAACTTTTCAGTCAGTCTGTCGGGGATGTTCATTATCGTTTCCTCCCCGTATTAAATTTCATCACAATACCACTTGTACCAATTTTTATTTAAATCCACCGGAAACCAACCAGTACATCTGCATAAGACTAAGTTATCTGTGAAGAGGAAAAAGTTAAAACGGTTGCTATGTTGGTGTTGCCATTATAAGCAAATTATATTAATATTATAATATACCATTAATATATTGAAATTAAATATTTTTAAATAAACGATTAACGATTTCCCGTCTCTTATTAATTGGTTGTACTGAAACGGATAAGGCTATATTTAATTGATATTTTGTGAAATTCTATCATGTTGTTAACTCTTTCACGCAAAAACTACAGAACGGATTTTGATGAAACTACAGTAATATATCTTATACATCAGAATAACATATACTATAAATTTTGGGTGAAACTGCGGGCACAGCTTAAATAAATTTCAAATTTGTGAGCTGTAATGACAACTGTGGACACCACAGGCGGCGGTGTGGCAGTCCGCGGCGGCGTGGGCTCCGTGGGCGGCGTGGGCATGGTCCCAGTGCAGGTCCCGGTCTCCGTCGCCAACGGACACACAGTGTACCAGACTGTACACCTGCCGATGCACTCCCAACACCTACAAATCATACCTCAGCTACAGCAGGTACGCAATTACCTCTAATTTTTATCTAAACTAAAATAAAATTATGTACGATATGATTTATAATCATAATAATAAATAGTGGCATTGCGGTTCGAAGAAAAATTAATAAACCCTAACTGGTATAGTCTAAAGTCAAACCGCCAGTGTTTTAAAAGCAATATTGAGTCCACCCAAAATAAGTTCTATATAAGTAAGCAACTTCAAAAAACTATACATAGGTATGCTAGAAATCGCCCATTGGTTGAATTTGCACAATAATTAATTTAACATTCAGTAGGACTATAAAAAAATATTAAAGATAAATCTATTATCAATTTGACCACAGACTAACAATAAACAAAAAGAGTATATGCGTGTGTATCCTAAATACCTGGTAGTCTGTGTACATAAGCTCTATGTGAACAAAACCTGTGTACTCCTTCCTCTGCGCAATTTTCGTAAAAAGGGGTACAAAGTTCTTGCTTCACGTTTTAATGTATAAATATATTATTTTTTTATGTATTTAGGTCCGTCTTATCAATAATACCAGCCAAAGTCGAGTAAAGAATAAAGTACACAAAAGTAATAATAACTTATTCATACAATTATATTATGTTTGTAAATTACGCCGCATATGCACAAATTTTAATATCAGTTGATATTGACGATTTTATTTGCGATCGAAATCGATTCGATTGAATAAGACTTCCGATAAGAATTCCATCTTGATAATTGTATCAAAATAATATAGTACTATTGCGTCATCGTTGTGCCGGTCACCAGTCAAACCTGATTAGTAGGTGAGTCTTGTATCTGAGATGCGTATGCTAGTTATATGATAATAATCATGTATAGACTATACCAGTGCTACCGAATATTATAAATTAAATCAGTGAGGGTGCATTTTATTTAATTTTTATTTTAAAGTGGATTAATAATTTCAAACGCTGCCACACATTGCCGATATGTGAGTTTAGAAATTTAAATATGTTTATTTAAAAATGTTCAACAAAATCTTTACAGAGAAGACCTAGTGCTATGAATGGACGTTTTTATTGATATACAGTCCAAGGACAAGATATAGGAAAAGTCTACTGCAGTGAGGAGTAATTGTGACGCTATTATATTAATAAAATATAATTTTAACATAAATACTACGCCAACAGAAGGCGGGTTTTCTTAAAAAGAAGCATGGCTTTCATATTTTTTTTTTAATAAAGTTTGTGGACTTATTTACAGATGCAAGCTCAACCTCAGGTGGCTAACGTGCTCACGCCGTCCGGTCAAATACAACAGATACAAATTGCGTCACTCGCTAATGTACAGGTGAGGATTGCTTCGTTTTTTCAAAAGATTTTTACAAGATTATTTACAAGTATCTAGTAATGTGAACACAGTGTACTACGAGTATATTACTAGGTTAATTCCTGGTGAACTGGATAAATTGCTCAGCGTTCGGTTTGGTCTACTCTGGCTTTAGTAAATACTGGTGTGATGACCTATCACTACTGTAGCACAAAAATCCCCCCCCTTCCCACCGTCAAATTTAAACGGATCGAAGTTACGACGGCTTGAGCCGAGATTAGAATCCCTAACTGTACCCTCAGACTAAAATCATATCCGTCAGGCGAGAGTTGGCCTTCAGTCGCTCCAAGTCCTTCCTCTGGTTTGGAGTGACATCTGCACTCGCTCCCTATCGCCTTTATTAGAGTAGTCTGAAAAAATCCTTCACACCTGCTGTTGGAGATATACTTGAGAACTTATATGTGATTTAATTAGATATATATTCAAATGTGGGTCATATTTAAAAATAATTATAGCATGTTGTGCTCTTCCTGCTTTATAACAGTAATATTGTTGGTGCTATTATTTTAACAATACGATGTATCGTTAATAGGGTCTGTAACTAAAGAATTTATCTTATTTATACTGATTATATATTATATGCAAATCTATGTATGTCTCTACATTCAGTGTTAGTGACAGTGGTCACGCCTATCGCAGTCTTTCGAATTAATTTTTGGTTTTATTATCGGCCTTTCATTCATCGAATAGTCAGATATTATATTTTTGTATACTTAATATATTAACATCCACTAGTAAGATAATATTATATAAACTCGAATATAATGTTGTATTGTACCTACGTCTGTTTGTTTTACCTTGGGTAAAAAAAATTTCAAACGAGGATAAATCACATAATAAAATTCGTTACGCTATTCAGAAGATAAGCATACAGACGCAGACTGCGACTTTATTCTACACTATATACATATATTATACAATATTGTCTGAAAGACATATAAATACTTCAGTTTCGGCCCTATATATTCTTATTAATATGTGCCAACTTATGCTAAGCTTCTATCGAATGCTGTAAATACATTGCTGGGTTGGTTTGGTGCAGCAAAACGGAGGTACCCAGACGACGGTCAGTGCAGCTCCCACTCCCGCCACCATCACGTTACAGGTAATAATATATATTTTATGTAATAATAATGCCCCGCCCCGGTTTCTCACGGGTGTTTGTTAATGGGGTATTTATATTTAAAAATATAATATAGTCCATGTATTTTTTATTTTGTCCATTGCAAACAATATCTTGACTATATTTTTCTAGGCTAGATATATATAAATAGTTACGATATAAAATTCCAATCATTAATCGATTAAATTTCTGTTAAATGTCAATATGTATTGAGTAAATAATTTGTGATAGGGGGATATAAAGCAAATACTATATAACCATTAAACTTTTTCATTTTGACCTTGAAAACAAAGTCTAGCTGTATCCCGCCACTTCTCTCACACGAATTGTGATTACAAGTATAATTCTAATGTGATAATTTAGTGCATGGTCTATCTGTACACCAAACTTCATTACTTTAATGAGTTGATTTTCACGTCAGTAATTAGGATGAAGTATTTATATTTATTGTTATATATTTTACGTTTATTGAATTTGTTTAAATGTTGTATTGCATTTTTTTGTTTTTATTTTGTTGATGCATGCCGCTTCTTGTTTTGTAGTAATGGTGGATATACCTTGTTTATACGTTAAGAGCATAGAGATTCAATATTATTAAAAGTATAATTATAATTTCTTAATAAATAATTCCGAAATCTCTATACAATACACCATGTATTTAAATGGTATAAAGAGACAGCGATGTAGTAGAGATAAAGTTGGCTATGCAATCTTTTGGAAAATAATGGAGATTTGTGATCAACTTCGATGTCATTCCTAGTACACTAGCTATTAGGGTATTAAATAATACATTAATATCTTTAAAAAAAATAGAATTAGTTTTGATGTAGAGTTAGTGGTAAAGGAGTATTGTACCAGGCTTTCGAATTGGTACACTTTACGACTAACCCTGTATTGTTAGTGATTAAGATAATACGCTCTACTCGAGGCCCGCACCCTGCGGTCCGCAAGGACAGCGGACGAACTGGATTGGATTGGAGATAATACTTACCTGATATACATCCACAGGTTTATAGATAAACGTAATTTCTCCTTTGGAAAGTTTACACTCTATCCTGAGGAGATAAAAACCATCGCTCCTAAGAATATCCTTGAATTCTTGTCCCTTGACGGGTCTAGGTGGCAAACTCTGAAAAAAGTGCGAGCACAATAGATATAGGTTGCAGTGCTACAGGTTAAAAAAAAAAACACCTAACAATAGCCCAAACCCTTCAATAAAAAAAAATCCCATATAAAAGAATCTACTAATTTAACATTTACGGTGCAGTTAGTCTAGCGGCAACAATTTTTTGTAAAAAATATTATTTGCGAATTTCTAAAATGACATACATACATGAGTATAACAAAACAAAAGATTACATTATCATTTATCTGTATCTTAAACATAAAAGTATAAGATGAAAAAACGCTAAATAAAATTAGTGCATTATTTCTAAGATTTTTTTTATATAATTTAATGCCTGTATAATGTAATTATGTAATATGTACGGTGTAATGTAACTTAATAAAATAAAATTCACTACACTGCTGCTTGGACGGTAAGGCGGTATCGAATCCGATGCAAGTGGAAACGAGCGGACAACAGCAGGCGATCATAACGAACTCACCGAGCGGGCAGCAAGTCACCGTCATACCAGCGCCTGGCGTACGTACCGCGAATGTCGTCCAGGTATACCGGGTCGCCGGGTACATTCCAGTGACGTAGCGTGGGGGTGCGGAGGGCCCCATAGCACCCTCTTCAAGATATAGAGAATGAGTAACACATACTAACAAGGGTGGTAGGCGGCAAGCTCCTTGGTGATCTTTTTAAAGTAAAAATCAAACAAAATGATATCATTATTTAAATTATTAACCGGGTCTTAACACGAATAATTTTATGGCAAATAAAGGTATTTACCTCTCTCATAAAATTATTCGTGTTAAGACCCGGTTAATAATTTAAATAATGTATATTAAACACGAAAGTTTAAAAGTAACTAAAATGATTTCATTTTATTATATAAATAATAAAAATAAAATAAAGGGGGCGATGAATTTTCGGTTGGCCCCAAACGGGGAATGATCACGTTACGCCACTGTATTGCCGTGTAAATTACTGTTTAAAAGAATATACATGTACATCTAGTATATTTTAGGTCGAGTAAATTTTTGTAATGTTTCTAAAAACTGTAATGTTTTAAACTATTTTGACGCTTATTGTAGAAATATCGGGAGCTTATAAATATTATTAACAAAGTAAATATCTCTTATATAGTATGTACTAGAACAGTAATTTCACAATACGTATTACGTTAATTTATAATGATATTATTAATATTTCAGATGAAGATTCCTGTTTTTCTTGTTCTTAATCTTTCATGGTCGTATCAGTAAGACCTATATACACAGTGGAGCATATAATACGATTAAAAAGTCGTAAATTTTTAAATTGTGTTGATAATTGTCGAATAAAAAATTTGGGGCCGTATAAGAGTTTTTAACTCATAAATGAAAGTATGGTCTTTCTTTAGACTAGCTAGGCTATATACTATAGTCTTTCTGATGACAGTGCATGGGAGAGGGGCTGCTTGCATTGCATGTATATATAAATAAGGGTTTTTGTGAATAACACATACATAATATAAAACTGTTTGCTGACTTGTGCTAAATTAATTTATTACTTATTATTCCTTTAATAAGACCTAAGAATATAACGTTTATGCGGTATGTTCTTGGATCTTCTAAATTTAACTGCCTATATTTTTAAATGCGCGAATGGGTTTAACAAAATATATTTATTAAACATATATGACACTAGTTGGATGTATATCCGCACAGAACATGAATATATTGTAAAATATTCTGCTAATTACGACATATTCATTTAAACAAATTAATTTAGTATTTTTCATGTAGAATTCCTCTATTTTTCGGTCTATGTAACTTATTATTAAAGTATTTATTTAATAGTAGTGCAAATCAAATAAAAAGTCAACAATTTTATGTTATAGGTGCCAACCCTAGGTGTGGGCGGCGTGGGGGGCGCGGTACAGCTAGTGCCGGCTCTAGGGCTGCCCGGCGTACAGCTGGCGCAGTTAGCGCATCAGCCGCAAGCTCAGGCGCAGCCTGTCATAGGTAGATTGAGTTTTTATTATGTGCTTTATATATACTTTTTATGTGACATTAAAACATACATACGACTCTAAATTTTCACCCTTCTACCACCAACCCCTATTTGTAATGGCGATTTTAATTTATATGGTAAAACAACGTTTGCGGGCTCAGTAAGTAATATATATATATTTTAAATACTATTGTCTTATTTTTATCTACGATTACCAGGGCAACAGATCCAGCAGGATCCGAACGAGCCGGGCAAGTGGCAGGTGGTGGTGAACAACGGGGTGTCGAGCGGCGGGTCGGGGTCGACGGGCGGCGGCAGCCCGGGCCCGGCCGCCGTCACGGCCGTCGTCAGCGCCGAGTGCGAGGCCAGCAAGCAGCGCGCCGCCGCCGGCAGCCCCAGCGGCGTCAAGCGCCTCATGAAGCGCGTCGCCTGCACCTGCCCCAACTGCGACCTCGGCGAGAAGTGAGTCTACCTACTCAACCATTACCATTGGTTACGCAGAAAAGACATCGCCAGCGGAGAGTAGGGAGTCCGCTATAGCGATGTGAGAGAAAGAGACTTGTTCCTTTTAAGTTTCACTACTGCACATTTATGCACTGTGTCCTAGACACACACATATTCCTTCTTTCATGTAAGTGTTACTGTCATCCGTTTATGTAACCACACATTTAGAACAAAGTACCCCGTACTATAATTTGAATAAAATCTGATTATAATATAATTTGCAGCCGGCTGGTAGATCGTAAGAAGCAGCACCTGTGCCATATCCCGGGCTGTAACAAAGTGTACGGCAAAACCTCGCATCTTCGCGCCCATCTCCGCTGGCACTCCGGGGAGAGGCCATTTCTCTGCAACTGGCTCTTCTGCGGGAAAAGGTCTCTTCTATTACTTTCTAATATTTTATAATAAAAGTTTGGAGTAACAAAAAATAACCAAAACTACAATTTTTTGCAGCGAGCATGGGCTGTCCATTCTTCGCTCTGTATAATTAAATTTATGAGCTTCTAACATGAATTGAATCCAAATCGATAAGATGTCATTAAGTAGCATTTTTAATGTATTACTAGATAGAAACGGGATTTTCCATCGCTACATTATTTCTATGAATGTGTAACCCTATTTCTTCTCTCAAGTTTATAGTATCATTTTTTTTATTTATATAATGTTGTTTTATTTCGGTATATTGTTACAGGTTTACGCGATCGGATGAGTTGCAACGACACCGGCGCACACACACGGGAGAGAAGCGATTTGAGTGTCCCGAGTGTAGCAAACGGTTTATGAGATCCGACCACCTAGCGAAACACGTGCGGATTCACGCCAAGAACAGGCTAACAGTAAGTTTGATAAATCACTTTAGTCTTCCTCGGTTACTATAACAATCATATGAGAGATTGCAGGGTCACTACCATGCAATTTGTCATCTGTTATAGTAACCGAGGTAGAATTTGTACAATAACGTCTGTGTAGGTAACTCTCTCTCTATTTCTCTCTCTCAGCAATTTTTGATGCTAAGCAGCTTACTTAATAAGCTGTATATTAGTGGATGATAATAGATTGATGTATCTGCTTGCCTTAACGGAATACGCTGGTGGGGTACCAGTGAAGGAGATTAGTTAGATCATCATGATGAAATCAATTTGAATTAACCAGATGGTGGTTTCCAGGGACAATTGCATGGAGGAAGAACTCAAATGGTACATTGTTAGTAAATAGAATTCTTACGATTCCCTTCCTCCCCGTATTTTTTAGTTTAAAATATGAGATACGTAGTATAATTACATGGTATGGAGGCCAAGATAAATCAGTATGACAGGAAAATGGCGGTACAAATTCTCGATAGGAAGCATGATACCTTTCTATATTCAGGAAGTGCAATACATAAAGTGCGTGATAAATATCACTGTGTATTTTATTATGCTCATACAGCTGTTTGTGTCTATTGGCAGTTCTTGTCTCTCTACTTCATCGTTAGCTTGTTTGTATTCAAATAAATTGGCAATTTTAGTTATAATTTCTATGTACCAAGGACAGACTATCTGACCCAAAACAGCAACCCGATCATTCCCAGACAAACCAGCTGTACTCGGATTCCGGCGACGATAGCTGCGACGAGAAGATGACCCTCACTATAGAAACTATCCATGCGGAGGGCGACGAGGACAAACTAGTGATGGTGCGTCAGGGAGCCAAAATAGAGACCGAACACGTGGACAGCTAGGAACACCAGAGCGACGAATAAACACGTCGCGCGATTATGAACTCTACAGCCTATGGTATAAGGTTGGTACGCTCACAACTTATCAGATGGTGTAAAAACGACTGCGGGCCACTACTTTTGAATAACAGTCTATTCACTTTGATAGAAAGTTTAAAATCGTCCTCTCAGCAAGTATGACACTATTTTGATAGGATTTAATACATTGTGATCTTGTGATTACTGTGACAGTTTCGAAGTGTTTTTACCGATGGTAACCTCTGCATACCTGCATTTCAAGAAACAATATTTCTGTATAATTATTTAAAAAGTGCACTTATTGTTAAAAAGTTGAAATTCTACTTTTTACGGACTAAATCTAAAATTTCCACCATAACTTAATAAGGATTTTAGTTGTTTACCATTTTATTTCTCTATATTACCTTTTTTAATTTATTCGGACATATTGTTAGTTGACATGTAATGCACCCGTTCCCACATTTCGGTATTGACGCTTTTGATAAACAGTTATATCGTACGTCACTATAAATTGTGACAGCTATCGTTCATCTAGTCGTAGAGTATAGTTTAGTACTCTATTTTCTTCCGTCTAAAGTTGAAAACCGCGGCTTCATTATGTAATCCACTTGAAGTCACTTTTATGATTATATATGAGCATTTGACAGTTGCAATTACAGATACAACAGAATTGTATCGTTCGAAATTGAACTCAAGTTTCTCATACATAATCGAATCACTGATAATTTCAGTCTGTTTTAAAAGACATTTGATTGAAAACTACATTACATAATTAACAGTTTGGAGTACAGTTGTAACATAACCCACGACTATTGAACTAGTAATCCAAGTGAGTTGTAATGCTTCTTTAGCATTCTAAAATGTCTTATAATTGAATGAATGTTTATATTTTAATACCAGACCATGTATAAGATAAATATTGTATCTGTTTTAAATATAATTTTACATGAAACTTTATAATTGAAAGTATTCCATAAATGTACATGATTTGGTAGTGAAAATAGACTCAATGGTCAAATGTGGAATGTCTATATGTATTACTAAATCATGTTCTGTTTACCTAATATGTATTATGTGAGTAGGGAAATGTAATATATTATTAAATAAAATATAATATATTACGATTCATCTGTAGAAGTAATTTTCTCCTTCGTTCTTCTCATTTAAATAATAATTGTTATTAAATATGATTATCAATCTCCAAACCAACACCTACACATTTAATAGACTAAAAAACAACACTCATTAAAGTTCACTGACGTTACTGTCTGTAACTTATATTCAATTAATTTCAAAACTAACATTGATCATTTCTTATCTCTGTCTGAGGATAAAATATTCCGCTGTTGTGAAAGAAATGAAGCATGCCAGATAGTTCCTTCAGCTATTTTACAATGCTGTTTTGATGTTGATTGCATATAATATATACGGGAATAGTATAATAATATCGATGTCTACAGTATACCAACAACCCTTTTCATCTATCCATAGTGATGTACGTTATTTATGTATAGAATTAATTTAAGATTCGAAGCCGCCTGTTTATATAAAAAATGTGTGTTTGAGAATAGTTATTGAGTACAGAAAAGATGATAAAGCTGATATATAATATGTGAATTAGGCATTGCATTTTAATTTTGCAACAAATAATATTATTGTATATGTTACCGTATTGTGAAAATCATTTAATTTGCACGCAGCTAATGTTTGTTCAGACAGAAAGATTAGGTAATGAATCAATTGACATGGACTATATTTAATTTATTTTTAAAATTGATATAGAAAAATTTCGGATATTACGGGAATATACCGTTGTTCTCATTTATTTCATATATATTTAAAAATACTTGCAAGTTAATAGAATTTTTAATCGTTATTTGTCTTAAAAATCATCGCATTGAAATATCATATTTGCATAAACGCATCATGTAAAAATCTTAAACTCTTATTTATTAAATTGTGTGTTTGTTTATAGCCTTCTATTTCCGTACAATGTGTAAATGGATAGATATTAAGTGTGTATTTATCTATGATCTGGGTAAACCCAGCATTGGACGGTATTATGGATCATGGTAATATGTTCCATAGCATAATTAAGACATCAAAATATATAAGAGCGGTGAAATTTTACAATGCATTTTTTACGAACTATCTGGTGTTCTTATATTCCAATGAGTATTTTGTACCGAAGAATCGATATATTCTAATATTATTCATATGTACTGTACATTATTGCACAGGATCACGATATAAGAACTTTATACTAAAAAATAATGATTATCACAGTACGGTAATGTGACATTTTATTGTAATATTGGTTTAAGCGGCTAATGCTTTTATTAAATTATTTCAGTTTACTTTTCATTTCGTTCAATTGCTTCAATTCGTGTTTACATTAACAGAAAACGGCTAAAGTCGTGAATTTTGTTGCGTTATGTTAAGGCTTAATTGGTGATTGGTTTGTTGACTAGAAATTAGAAACGCAAAGCATTGTAGTGTCATAATAATGTAAGCTTTATTGGTCTGTGATCAAAATTTTTAAAGTTTTAATTTTGGACATATAATATGTAAAATATGTAGAATAATTTGTATGGAAGTTGTGTAGAATGTGCTTGTTTGTAAATTTGTATATATCGTAGTTATTAAATTATTGTTACTCTTATTGGTATGCGGGCCACAATTTATCGGCCTCGGATGTACTAAATCCCAGTATCTTATCCTCGCATATATACTATATCTCCAAAAATATAAAGTAGTTTAAAAATGTATATATAGCATTCGCAATCAGGAGATATGCAAAGAAACCAACTTGACCGACCTGACCTTTCGAAAACTGACATGAGCTTGAAATTTACAGACTATCATCAAACAGTTAGTTAAATATTAGACTCATCCGTTTGATTAAGTGTTATTGATGGGACAGTTAAACGAAAGGGATTTTTGTTTAAAAGATTTGTACCCGTCCTATTGACTTTCGGGCACTTGTTTTACAAACTTACACGTTTACTTTACCATATTTAAAATACTTCTCATAAAGAATCCTGGGTAATTGTCGCACGCGTACTAATATCAGTGACGAAATGAAACAAAATTAAAACTAATTAAAAGGCAGTGAAAAATGGAAATCGATTATCATAAAACTCCATGGGGTTTTAAAATAATTATGCTATATCAATCATATTGTTTCGTGTCATATAACAACAAATAAAATGTAGTAAGGATTGTATGAAATAAATTCTAATATGGCTATGGCTATATCTTGATTAAATTTATATTAAAAAATCCTTTCTAATACAACTAATATATAAATCATAAGCACAGTCCGCCATTAATGGAATTGAAAGCTATACTAGTAGCTATTTATTCTTTTATAGTGAAAAATGAATATATAAAATATGGTTATACATAGTCAACTCAAGAACTTTCAGGTAGCGATCTGATTTATAAGAAGTCTAAACAAAGAGAGATAATGTTTTAGTAATTTATTTAATATTTTGATGTTGTAAATAATTAGCAGTATTTGTACTTTGTACACACTGATACACATACAGCACAACAGATTTTTTAATAATGTACGAATTAAACGTTTTTACTTATTGACTACGTACCTTCATAGTCTGTAGTATAATATATAATCCATACTTACTAATATATATATATGATCCTACTTTAGTATTCCGAACTGTAACATTAATTATATCTTAATTCTATGCCATTAAACGAAAATAATATTGTATATATATTTATTTACTATTTTTATGAAGGCATATTATGCTGTGTGGTTGTAGTGCTATAGATAGGTAACGCACTCTAACGAGATTCAAAATGACAAAATCTCAAGTCAATTCATTATACTCACAAGGTTTTTTTATATTTTCTAGTTTACAATTTACATTCATTGCATTTATAGTGGTTTATAGGCTGGTGGTACAGTCAGCTACGTATAGACAGGGTAAATACTGGTTTATATAAACCAAAATGTGTGTTAAAGCAAGGTAGAATCGGCGACGTATTTTGAGTTCATATCCAAATACTATTACACGCTATAACGCATTCTTATACTTTTCTAAAGTATCTACGTTCCCGATATAGGAATTATGTAATTAGTAGACAAAATTGTTTGTTTGATTGTTTTACAAAGGCATATTTTTTTGTATGTAGTTAGAACTATAAACTTTTTAATCTCCAAATTTCATGTATATTTTAGTATTTGTTACTAATTTGTTAGCATATAAAATAACAATCACTTGATGCGATGATTAGAACTTCTCTTTACATATTATTTTATCTTCCAGTAATATATAAAGATTGATTTCGATATAAACTGTCATTTCATGTTTTTATGGAGCTGACTGTACGTTGATGAGTCCTGTACGCCGTTAGTGTATCCGTGTATGGAAGGTTGGAGAACATTTGCAACCCTTACAACCAAAGATGGCGTACCGCCGGCCTCCTTTATTATATCGATATTGACATCTGACAGTTCCGTGCACATGTTTAAAATATCTGATTTGATTGTAACTGGATATATTAGCAAATTATGTAACATTAATATGTTTAATATGTGCGTATATAAATATGTATTCATTTAATATTTTTACAATATGTATTTTTTATTCAACGCAAACATATATGAAATACGTAGGATTCCTAATCGAGACATGGCATTAAAAATAGAGTGCATAAACATATTCTGCTTTCATTTCTTAGCCAGGACTTGTTAAAAAACATATTTTTTTATATTAAAGAAGTGTACACTTTTTTAATATACATTTATAGTTTTTATTACAATTTTGAAATTGAATTGAATAGAATTTTAAAATTCATTCAACTTTTTATTAATTTCTTTAGTTGCATTTTTAAATGCTAACATAAATATGACAATATGTATCTTGGGTTTAGTAGGTGTACTGTAGTGTATAGTAGCTATATTTACATTACAAATTTTGATAAAAAATTAGCATATTCACATTAATGTTTAAAATCAACTCAATATACGTACAAATAATTGTATTACATCGAAAGCACTTACTGGGTCCAAAATAACACTATTGCAACT